TTATTCAACTATTCATTTCTGTGGGCCCCGAGTGAGTTCACATAGTGTAACAGCGCAGCGCTTCTGTGTCGTACGTCACACACATGACCAGCGTCGGCCAATAGTGAGCCTACGTGTGACATACAACACAGAAGCGCTGCGCTGTTAGAAGGAAATAAAGCCTATGGAGGAGTGATCCAGCTCTCAGATTTAATCAGAAATATCTTAATTTGTGTTCTGAAGATGAACGAAAGTCTTACGGGGTTGGAACAACATGAGGGAGAGTCATTACTGACAGAGTTTTGTGGTGAACTATCCCTTTAACATCAGACATTTGGCATTATCAGGACCCACAAATATTCCCTAATAATTGCATTATTATTATATTCAACACTATATAGTAGTTAAATGTAGTACTGACACTAAAACTCTGTAAACTTGAATTTTTTCTCACACAGTAGGGTTTTTTTTTTGTGGGGGGGGGGGGGGTCGTGGGTGAATTATCCACGATACATACATACATGCATTTTTGTATTGCGATATATTGTGACACGATATTGTTACACCCCTATTTTTTAAGTATAGTAATTTTATATTTATTTTATGTAAAGTTTATTTGTTTCTATAAGTTCATTAAAATTATAAATGAGTCTGAACTAGTTGATGCACGAAACCAGCACCTGGATATAGAGGTTGACTGGCAAAAAGTAATTTAATTTTTTTTGAAAATACAAAAATACTCATCTTAAATGTATTTAAATACAAATTACATTTGATTTTCCCCAAAGGCTTCAAAATACAAAATACAAAATAGTATTTTGTATTTCAAATACGTATTTTAAATACATGTATCTGAAATACTGCCCATCCCTGGATGTAATCTAACTCATTTCCCGGTTTTGCCTTATAAAAAGACATCATCTCGGCACTCGTCTGTTGTATTCTCATGTCATTAATGTCACGTCATTGACCCTAGAACCATTTAACTCCATTAAAGCAAAATGTGTCATTTCCTCAGAACAGTTCTCTCCAACTCCAATAGATTCCCGCACAAGTCAGTATCCAGGGCAGCCCTATAGCTAACCTCCAGAATGCAGAGAAAAGGAAAGTACACCAGGAGCCATGGAAAAGTTAAAAAGCTGGAGGGGTGTGTGGGAGTGTACAATACATCTGTCTTAGGAGATAAATCTGTCAGCACCTTAGCTGCAGCCCACGGGATGCCCAGGATGGATGAGCGTATAAGCGCACTGCCTCATCAAAGATGGATGCAGTGCCATGAGATTTTGGAATGATAAAAGTCCCACTGAGGTGGCTTTTCCCTTTTTTCCAGTGCATTTCAGTTTCATCTTGATTGCAAACGCAATCGCCCGAGGCGTGATGTTCTTCTAAGAATGGGTAATGGCCAATTTATACACAAAAGCAGAGAAACATGCACACACACACACACACACACATTTTGTTTAGTCAAAAAGGATGTTTTTGATGAAATAACAGAATACTCATATGTCGCCACAGAGTGAGTCAAAACAGATATTGGAGGGCAGACGGGTGGAAAGAGTGCAGGGGACGCCTGAAGGCTGCGACTCCTGCTGCCACTGATGATCTTTCAGATAAAAACCATTTATCTGCTCGCCAGGGCTGTCAGAGGCCCTGCTAATTAGCTTTAACATTCATCTCTCTCTCTCTTTTCTGTCTATCTCGCACTCTTTCCATTCCCGCACTCTATCACACTCTGTCTCTGTCTCCTTCACTCGTTGACCTTCTTTATTCAGTTCTGCCTGTTACATTTGAATATTTGAGTGCACTTTGTAACCTCCAAGTTATGGGACAGATGATTTTATATCAATTAAAATTGATCTAATGGTCTGGTATTATGGATACTTTACTGAAATGTAAACAGAGACTAATATAGGAATATCTTTTTAAAATTGTAAAGGGTGAAAATGGTTTAAATCAAGATATTTGTTCCTCTCATATTCTTCCTGGCTAAAACAGCAACCTGAGTTATAACTTATATGAGCAAGAGTCTCAAAGCTCCCATGATCAACAACATGGAAATAATGTATATAATTAATTCATGATTTGAATGTAAAAGGTTTTGAGATTCACTGCACCTACAATAAACACACAAGAAGAGTAAAATATCATAAAACAAAATCTTGCTTATTATGTAACTTAAAATATTTGATAAATATTTTTTTAATTTAATTGTATATATTTTAAAATGATTATATTTGATATATTATATATATGTATATATATTATTCAACATATTTTGAAATTTAACAATCCATATTTAAATAAAAGTAGGCCTAAATTAATTAAACAAAATGTAAAAATATATATATTTTAAATAAATAATGAAACAAAATTTAAATAAATAAAAATTCCAAATGACAGCCCAACCTATTTTCTCAAATACTGATTATAAAATATTCTTCAGGTTAATTTTGGGACACTTTTTGCCATTGAGATGACTGGGGAAAAGTATCCCACTCAACCTGAATTCCCCCCAACTTCCTTCAATCTAGATAAAGCGTGTGGTATCTAACAGTAGTGTGGCTCTACACCCACTGCCTGCTTGGCTGTCCGCATTTAAAAACAGGGCAGGCCTTTGCTAGTGGAATATTTATAGCATTGCATTAAGCATGAAATCAAAGGTTTTAAGTGTACCATTGCAACATCGGCACTCCTCTGTTGAGGCCTGCCCAAAAATGCCTGCCCTTGGGCTGTTTGCAGTGCAGTGCTGTTTCCATACGAATTAAACCTTCATTACACATTGACCTGTCTTAAGTCAAGATCTAAGCTACTGGTTAACATGCAGCCAGGGTGACGAGGGAAAAGTAAAGTTAACCTCAGGGATCCATATTTTAAAGAAAAACGTTTAATCCATGCATTTCCTAAGAGATGTGTGCTGGACCTCTGAAGGTCAAATCTCAGATAAAGCCACTGTCGACCTGTAAGAACTGTTGAATTCATCATGAAAACATGAAATGCATCAGTTCACGTGATCAAGCATGCACAGCTGTCTGAGCACAGGCATCTGAATGGAGATAAGAGCATTTGACAATGACATCACTCTACACTGCGCTCTGAGGGCTTATCTCATGCCTTTGCAGACCCACAGACCCCCATAACTAACCAAGAGCTTGCTGTCTGCAGGCGCTTCACATACACAAGTCAAAACAACGTCTCTATGGGGGAGAAAAGGCTGGAATCCCAATATTTTGCACCAGAGTTGTTGTTCCATTTAAAATGAAGGATATTAATCTTGGATATGAAATCCATAAAAACAGCTTTCTTTTATTAGCTTAAAACAGAACCACTTCTGATTCAATTATTGTCTTTGCTATACTGCCCCCTTGTGGAATGAAAAACAGAAGTCTTGACGTGTGTGTGTGTTTTTTTTAAAGCAGAAGTTCCAGAGTAATTGAACAGTTTGGTGCGTATTATATAATTTATTATTATAGTTTCCAGTTTAGAGGAATTAGAGATGAACACTGCTAGAAATGAACACTAAATATGTGTGTCATCAGGACACAAAGATGTAATAAATTTAAAACATTTTCTGGAGAAACTAAAGAGACAGAATGCCACATTGTGAATGAAAAGACAAAAACTTTATTTGACATGGAAAACAAAAAAACAAACAAAACCAAAGCATTTAAAAATTGTAGTTCTCTATAAAATTTAGCACACAAAATATAGCTTTTCTTTGATATTGTAGGTCAAATCTACCCTAATAATTCAATAACATATTATAAACCCTTCATAAGGGAAAGGATTATGTACAAACCACTGGCCTTGCAGGAAAAACAAGTACGATCCAGTATACTTACAATGAGTTAATAGCTTTTCAAATTTTTAAACCAAACTTTTACAGGTCAACACTCAAAAATCAATGTAAACTAAATATGTTTAACAGTTTCCTTATTACAGATTCCTATGACAAAGATTTTACTCTAATAACTGACTGACCAAAGTTAAGGAAAAAGATATTATTGCAAAGGAGCAGAAGTACTAATAGAAAAAAAAGATGAATATGAAAAGTCAAAAGGAACAAATGTATACATACATATTCACTATCTTTACATTATCTAAGCATTTAACTGGACACAAACAAGTCTGAGTATTGAGTGCACACATCATGCTGTCAAAAGAAATAACACAACGAGATGGCCTTTCCAAACATTTCGCTCATTTAAATAACATTAAAATTGTTATTCATTGCAGTGAATAAATGGTAGCGTGCATGTGTTGATAGTGTGTAGATATCCAACTCAATTCCTAGAAATGACAAGTTGTTTGAAGGATCACATGACACTGAACCTCATAACAAGAGGAATAGTGTCAGGATTTTAGCTGCTTATGTAAACAAGGTGAAATAAACCTACAATTATTTAAATGTTCATCAATAAACAAACAATTCATAAAGGTATGCATTAAAGACACACAATTGAATGAATACAACTTATGAAGGGAAACGCATCTATAAGGAGGGTAAAAAGAGTAAACATCCCTGAGTTATCTAGTTTTGGTTCAGAATGAAGTGCATTTGAGAATGTTTGACCTTTTCCCTTATACTGTTGCTAAAAATGGTGGTGGTAGAGTTTATGAACAATAAAAAGATAAGACTATAACAATGTCGTTCATGATGCAATGTGGATTTTTAAAAAAGTAGTAACAAACAACTATTAACCAAAAATATTATAGCAATGACTGACAAAATGTTTTTAGAACTGGTCATGATTATGTAGCCTCCTGCAGTGAAAATGTACTTGTTGGTGACATACGATGTTACTGTATTCCATACAACAAAAGACAACAACAACCAGGACTCTAAACTAGCCAAAAACAACTAAATTAAGTGAAGTCTGTAATCCTAACCTTGAAACAGTCAGTTCTGAGATAAAAGAGGTGTCTTATGGGTATCAGTAGCCCTCTCTGGGAATTCTGTTAATGCAGTTATGTGTAAAATCGTAAAGAAACGACGTGTTTTTTGGAGGAGTGCACACACTGAATCTGAATATTCATCATCTCTGATGTATAGAAAGTACCATCTACAATGAAGATATGGTTAAACCATGATCATCAAGCAACATTAACACTTGTTAATTTATCCAGAAAACAATCAGTAAAATAGATCATAGAAAAATCTAATGATGCTATTCTGCATAAAAAGAAACGGAGACAACACCACACCCTAACTCTTCTCTTCATCGACATCAATATCTTCTTCTTCCTTTCCTTGGTCTCTGACCTCACAGCCACCGGAGTCACGTGACTCTTCTACTTCCTCAACATCCACTTCCTCTTCATTTCTCTCCTCATAGGAGGATTCCCCCTCATCTCTGTCATTCTCTTCTGAGCCTGGGAGAAAAATATGATCAATCATGATTGTTTAGAAAATGAAATCCACTTGGGGGGAAATCCCAGACAACTTCCGGCAAATTTAGATTTGCTCTGAAAGTTAGTCTGGGAAAGAGCTCATTCAAGCCCATTTCCAATCCGCCGAAATCGAGGCACCAATCAGAAACGTTGGGGCGGGCTTTACACGATGACGACAGCGCTGGGATTTTGAAGCAGATTTTGTAGCCTACATTACAAAGATGGATGCCGCCGTCGAACATCACTCGTTCGAATCAGCTATCGCGTCTGTTTTAACCGATTTGAACGTTTCCTTTTTGTTAAAAACCGAGCAAAGAACAACACTCGGAGTTTCTCCGCCGCTCTGCATACGTCATCTCCTTCATCGCTCTGATTGGTTTTAGGTCTATCCGCGACGTCCGTTGGTGACGCCCCCATGGAAATGATTTGTCTATGACGCTTTGCCAGACCATGGCTGTGTCCGAAATCTCCCACTATTCACTATATAGTGGACTATATAGAGAGCTCGCCATTTTGTAGTGCTGTCCGAATGTATAGTGATGATTATTATACCCTATATAGTCCACTCAATGTATCCCAGAATGCATTTTGAAAAGTAGTGTACAACCGATGGTCACTAACCCAAGCCCTACATACCATCATGCATTGCGCTGATCGTAAAAGACCTATCAGCATCATCTTCATCTTTAACTTACAATTTGACGACGTCTCGCTAGCGTAGCAAGAACAGAACGTCGTTTTCTGTGTCTAGAAATCCTGTTTCTTTTGCTAATCCGCAAAATCTTCTGAATCACGAGAACAAACAAACAAAAAAGATAAATATTGAGTGGCATCTCCACAGAGTCTAAAAGCTGTTTTATTAAGAGTATTATGAGCAAGATATTTGATAACGTAGATCTGTTTTTTTTCCCCTAATGTCGACAGGCAAGAGAAAACGGTGTGGTGCGAAAATGAAAATATATGAAATATGTGTATTAATTTTATTTATGTTTATAAGTTATAATCATGTGTGGAGTAACGCATTATAACAGAAACGGCCAGAAATGACTTTTAATTTTACAATTTTGGAGAAATAAGCTCAATATAATGTAATGTATTTATAAAAAAAAAATTATTTAGCCCAGAGCTGGCTCGGCACCAGCTGACAGATGATGGCGCGTTTAATCAACGGCGCCGAGAGACGATCGAGTAGTGTCCGAAAGTGGTGTTTCTATTATGCTGGTGAGCTCACTATATAGTGCTCTACTCCCTACCCCCTACATAGGGGTTAGGAGTAGTGGTTTGAGTGGAGATTTCGGACACAGCCCATAACTCAGTTACAACTGAGAATGGTCTGGTTTTAACCAGGCTAGGGGAAATCCACTTTTTTATTGCTTATCATGAAACACTTTATATGTGTGATGACTGTGAAAAGGAAAACCTCACCTCCAACTTGGTCATCCCGTTCATCATCCTCCTGCTCCATGTTTTGGCTATTCTGCTCTTCATCTTCGTCTGAATCTGAGATGATCACACATTCGTCTCCGTTATTGCTGCCCTTAGGTTTGGGAGCGCTGCTGGCATGGAAATTGGTTAAAGATAATTTAAATTTAGGAAAACCTAAAAAGACATTTGGGAGAATCTGGAGGAGGAAATCAAATGTTTTATTCTGGTGATTACCTGCCATTCTCTCGTGGCTCCCACAGTGGAGTCAGGTAATACCTCAAAGGATTTCTGTACAGATCTTCCTTCAGGATCTAGAGCCAAGGAGATGGAGTCAATGGGTTTATAAAACATCATCCTTACTGTGTGTATTTATTTAAGGATTTACGGTTTTGCTGGGTTATAGTGCTTTTTTGTTCATGTATTTTCATTTCCTACACCTAACCTCATGAGAGATGTACCTGTGCTATGTCATCCCTTCCTGGGTTGCTGTGATCACTGAACCAATGGAAGAAGCTCTGGTAGACTCCCTGTGATGTTCGACGAGGTTCTCCACTCCCGACCAGATTCTGCCCTCTGTGCCACAAAATTGGGTTTGAGAAGGACACCGGAGACCCTGAGCAAAAAATAAACACATACAGATGATAATGCATGATTATCTTATACATGTATACATACACACACACTCATTAAAAGAGAGGTGCTGTGATAGTAGTCAGCTCACCTCCCATTCCAAGATGAAGTTCTTTCACTATCATTTTGTTTTGAAAGAACGGATTTCGCCGGAAATGGAAGCAGATGCGGTATCCCAGTTTGTTGTTCTTGAAAGATTCAATCTGTTTAATAACAAGCATATTAAAAGTATAAATTATTTGCCATTTTAAAAACAGGTTTAAGCCAAAGGGAAAAAAGGCGGGGAAACGTTTTACCTCTAAATTAGTCATGTAACTAAGAGCGTCTTCATCAGACTCGTCGATTTGCGCTGATAGATGTGGGTGATTCAGAAGCTGATTGGTTCCAAGTTAAGTGCACAAATATGTAAATGAAGACAACAAACATCTAGAAACCAGCATCATTTGGTTCAAACATTGATGCAAATGGAAAAACAACAACACGTAAGGCATTTACAGTCTACACATAAACATTGTTATACAAGTACCAAGTGTGATCTTTGGTGGAAATTCATCAGGCATGGTAAAGTGGACATCTAATAACATCCACTAGTGAATCTTTTGACCAATTAAGTTCCTTGATTTTTTCAGTCACTTGTTTTTGAAAGATTTTTTAAAAACATTTTATACAGACTGCAGTCATAATAAGCAAAATAAGCATACATACATATTGACAAAAATCGCCATTGCGCTAGGATGTAACCATTGCAACATCTATACCTGTATCAGATAGTATATGGGCAAAAATAGGTACTGTTACTACTTATCAGACCATTAAAGTTACTACTTATCAGACCATTAAAGATAAAAACACAAATATATACTTATTTTTATTTTCTTTAAAAAGTAGTTGACAGAGATAGGGCCCACAAAAGATGACCTCAGTCACTTCTGAAAGTCATTGAATAACTCGCACTCTGTTAAAGGATACAGCAGTAACCCAGAAGCCTGGGATCGCTTGCGTGATGGCGCTGCGCTGGTCCAGGTGAGGGCGTCGCTGGCGGCTCACTTTTATCTCCAGACGTTGATGAAGACGCGCGCCTTTCTTCTCCAGCGCATCCAGACGCATCTGTACCTGCGCGAGCAGCGCGACGGACTGCCGCACCTCCGGGGCCATCTTCACCGACACTATGGCACACTCACCGTCCTCGTTCTCCTCGTTCTCAGAGGCGACAGACGAACTAGCCGTGGAGGAAGAGCCAGGAAGGGAGTCTTCTTCTTCCTCCTCCTCCTCATCATCATCCACAAACGATGCCTGCTCTGGATCTTTTCTGTTCTCGCGGATCAGCAGGGATGAAGAGCTGTCCGCCGCGGCTGCCTCCGTCCTTCTCTCGCTCTGAGAGCAACCTGGACGATTGGACTTATCTCTTGATTTCTCTCGGCTCGGTTTTTTGGACGAACAGGGCATTTCTGTACAGTCTTCGTCCCCGTCTCCGCCAGTCAGACTCGCGAGCGCCTCAGCTGCGGCGATGGCAGCGGAATCTGACGGCTGGCGCGCGCTCTCACCTCCGCCAGCTTGTCTCGTGCTCTCATGTGCGGCTGCTTCATCCTGAATTACCACCTCCTTCTCTTCAGTTCCTTCGGGGAGCTCAGCTCCGGGTTTTGGCTCACCATTCCCAACTTTCTCGGGTTCTGCATCTTCATGAGACTCATTTCTTGGTTCCTCGTCACTTACTTTCGCCTGCTTGAGCAGCGTGGTCTCACACTCTCCACTCGGACTTGCGCTTCTTTTCATCTGGTTAATTTCGGACGGCTGGCTGCTGTCCGAGTTTGTACTCATGATACTGACTAGTACTAAATTTATCCGACGTATATGGTGGTTTTTAAAACAGATTCTAAATGATAATTGTTAACTGTGCGGGTCTCTATCCCTCGTTCGCATTACAGCACTTCCAATATCCAATTCTGCGCAAATGTCAGCAGGCCTAGATAGCTTCTTAACGCTGAATGAGGCTAGTTCATATTCTCGCTGACTATCGCATATCAATTATTTCCGTTTGATTTTGACAGTATTCCCAACTTTCAGCTATTTCTCCCTTAAAAGTCACAATTCGTCTAAAATGTCCAGTTCTGTAGTATTTGTTTACAGTTTGCCCTTCCGTTCGCCATTTATCTGAGGCATTACATACGAGCGAGAAAACAATGCTCTGATTGGCTGAAATGCACCGCGCAAAAATCTCTCGACCAATCATAGACGTAGTATTGCAGTTGGTGACGAGCCATTTCATTGAGAACATCACTATCGCGTTGCAATTACGCATTATAAAATATTTCTTACTGAAACTGTTTTAATTATATTTTAGTTTATGAGAAGCAAAACTTGATTGTGTATAGTGTGTACAGCTCTGGAAAAAAAGTCTAAAAGTGCTGGATTACATTTCAGTTTGGATCAAATATTTTATTTTCAAAGAAAATAATTGTACAGCAGTCGTTTAACTGTAGCTATGAACAATAAGTACCATATTAAATGTATTTACACACTTTATTGGTGTACAAATGTTGGCATTATAAGAGTTATATACTTGTGAATTTTTATTACATTTAGGCCTAAATGTGAGAAGGATAATGAAAATTTGCTGAACTACCATTTCTTAACTTTATCTTTGGCTGAAGTTACATTTATATTGATTCTTAAAGAATTCATTACACAAAAAAGGAAAAAAAAGGTCTGAAAAAGACTGCCAGCTATACGTTTAAAACCACCATGTCTGTAATTTATATCACAACATAAAAGTGTAAATCTTGTTAGTGATTAAATGTTGTTGCAATCTCTTAATCAGTGTCCATTTGGTCCTGACATCTGGTAAGTTTCACCTTGTGGAGTCAGGGGAAACAGGTGAAAAGGTGCCATCCAGGCCATATCCTGGTCCCTAGAGGAAAAAGTGCTGTATCAATCAATCTCTTATGATTCAGAACTAAACAGCATGCCTTTATTAGTCCATGAGGCTGTGGTGTCTCCCAGCTCCAACAATAAAGCCACTTTATTAGATCCATCCAAAGAGCCCAAGGTAGTGTTTTTTTTATCTTTACTGTCATCTTTTTTTATACTTATATTTATACATACAACCAACTCTGTGTTTCTCCACATGATTTTTTGAGACTGGTGGGAGGACCTTGGGCGGTCTAGGGGCATTCAAATTGCGTACATTTTTAAAGTTAAAGTCATCAATCTGGTGCACTGCGAGTTCAAAATTAAATTCTCCAACCCATGTTCAGTGTGCAAACTGAACAAAGAAAAAGAAAAGTCAATTAATTGTACCTGAACTTTAAAGGGGACTCAACCTTCTTTTAGTTGTGATAAAGTGGCTCAGTCTACATTACATTCACACTGTTGTTTTAGGAAGCCAAACAATTAGAATATAAAAGATAATAATAATAATATATTGTTATTATACCGATGACAATAATAGCCATATATTGTAAAACAAATGCACTGTAAAATAAATAAATATTTCACAATCATATTATTTTACTTTACAGTAGGGTATTAAAGGACTTTTGTCCTAATTTCCTGTTTTGATGGAAAACTGCAGTTGGGCTTTTATTTTGGTGGAAAATTGCAGCTGGGCTTTTATTTTGGTGGAAAATTGCAGCCGGGCTTTTATTTTGGTGGAAAACTGCAGCCAGTTTCTCTGAAAACAGGTTTACAAACACATCTCATTACAAATCTAGTGAAATGCTGTAATCATCTGCCCATAAAAATGTTGGAAATTATCCAAATGTAAAAAAGCACAATTGGTGCATGTTGCAGTCCCAAATGCATGCTAAACTCACATGCAGAATGGAGTTTACTGCATTCATTCACTGTGAATCTAGCCGTTCTGAGACGCAAAAAAACGAGAGGCTGCTCACTGGAGAGCGTGAACTCCAGCTCCCCCTCTCTGGATGTAATTTGGGTGTAATGGGTGGAGCTAGAAGGTCTAACCACACCCTAACTGTATCCCTCCGCCCATTAGATCCACAGAGGTTGAGCTAAACTCGGTCAAGGTCAACTCATTTGGCTCTGCAGTGAGCACCACTTGCAGGAAACATCAGATCACGAGCTGACCACGTGAACAAAGTGCGAGCTTCGCTTAAAAACACGCAGCGCAACAGACTTAAGTCACAGCCTTTTGTGATTTGATCCATATTGGAATTGGATTTATCCATATTGTGCTTTTGATTTTAGATCGTTTGACATATACTTTGCATAAGCAATGGCGCAAAACAACATTAAAGACCTTTTATGTTATGAGAAGTTTAAATATATTTTTGGTTCATAATGAATCTGTGGTGGGCCGCCACAGTCTAGTTAATGAACGGGTAAACACTGCAGCGATCCACAAACAGTAAAAAACTTGTAAGAATTTATACAAAATTAAACCGTCATCCTTACAACGCAGCAAGTACAGTTTACCTGTGTAACTTTTGTCCTTTTCTCCTGAGAAATTCCTCTTCATCTACAGTCCAAACAGAACCTTTCCTTCCTTCAACGCGCACAAAGCACTTATGAAGACTGAGGTTATGCCGAACAGCATTCTACACACACAAAGTAGTAAAAGAATTACTTATTCTGTGATTTCACAGCCATGTCATCACTTTGTCATTGAGGTGCAAGTAGTGAAAGTTTTATGGTATGTAAACGAGAGGATGTGGCTTTCAGGATTGGCTTGTTTGTGGGCAGTGAGTCATGGAATGACAAATATAATAAGTGTGCTGTACAAATACCGCATCTCATACCTTCCATGTGGCGGTATTGTGACGGAAGTAGAAGAACATGCGGGTAAACCAGTGATAGATTTCATTTAGAGTAAGCTGCTTCTCTGGGGACTCCAGGATTGCCTGGCATACAAGACATCTTTAATGTGACTGACAGGAAATGAAAAGGTAATATAGGCCTACAGGATATTTAATTCAGCAGTGCTTACCCATCGTATCATGGAGGCGTAGGTGAATGGTGGCCTCATGTTTGTTAACTTATAATACTCAAAACTGGGAATAATCCCTGTGGACAGAAAAAGAAAAACATCATATGGTGTTGTGTTGTGTGTGGATAATGTTTTAAATTGAATATACACATGATCAGTTTCTGAATCAGTGTTTGAAAATATGTATAGAACAACAGTGCTGAATGACCTGGTATAACTTGTGAGGTAGAGATCTGCCAGTATCCTTGTGTTAACGCATCAGCTGCCACTCTCTCACTGTCATAGAGACCATTTGTGTTCTGACATACTCCAGGTTGCAGGAGTCCTGACAGATGTCCCGGCTTCTCCACACCGTTACCACCCTGAGATCAGAAGGATAAAATTACATCAATACATAATTTTGGGCATAAAACATCTGGCCTTCATCAGGTCCTACAAGTAGGTAAAAAAAAACCAATAAAACTCAAATGACAAACAGAACATAAACAGACCCTGCTGTCATTATGGCACAAATCGATTAATGGCATAAGTTTACGTGCCGCTCACACATGGTTTTGGCTTGGCTTTTCTAACGCTCCCTTTTTCAGTTTTGTAGCTCAGTGGTTCCTAACCCCAGTCCTGGAATGCCCCCAGCACTGCACATAATGATGTCTTCCTAATCAAACTCACTCTTCCTTATTCAACTCATAAAGACTCTAAGACCTCAAATGGCTGATAAGACAGACATACAAAATGTGCAGTATTGGGGTACTCCAGGACCACTACTGTAGATTGGCTGAGGATCATTGTTGTCTGGTGTGACCCAATTTCAGCTCAGATTTAGCTGGCAGACAGATGGCCTTACATTTGTCTCAAGAATACACTGGTGTGAAGAAAAATCCATAAACCAGTTACAAATCAAGAGATCCCTTCATCAACACGCTTGTTGATGGTCGAATCGTTATCTGGTAGAAAACGTTAGTGGCGACAAAATTTGGTCCATACTTTCCAGACCTTACCATTTTTTGCCTGGCTTCCTTTCTATGGCATTATATTAGTTCAATCTTTAACATATGTCTGTAGATCAACTGATTAAGCTTTTCTCAGAGCAATACATATCCTTACCGTAGTAAATGACACAGCACATCTTAAAATGTAATAACAATCTATAACTTTACCCAGACAGAATGAGCAGTAGCAATCACATTTCTGAACTTTGTGAGCAGATTATTTTTTCTTTATAGAGAATTAACCACTCCCTGATAATCATTTATCAAGTGTATGTAATTACCAGCACGTGGCTGCTAATTATTCTCAACAAGCAATGGTGTACCTATTTTTTTAGTCATCTGGCTTGGTTAATAATTTTGTTATTATGTGTGTGTATATATATTGTTATTTGCAATGCAAACAGCTATATGATATATTTTAAATATAATTTAACATAAGCGCTTACCTCAGAGGTAGATTTGACATCAAACAGGTGTAGCTGCATGGCCTGCAGTTTCTGTCTCTCTGCTGTCAACTAACAGTAACATTTACAAAGTAAATATAACACAGTGTCATAAGCAAGCATCCATTTATCATCCAGTTCTTCTTATAACCTCCTGACCACCATGTTCTTTATTTTCACTCTGCATTTATGTACCATTAGCCAATGTGATACATAATCAATGGGTTCTGTGTTTCCCACGCAAGCTGGTTAAATGTAGAACAAGCCATTTTCAGTATGGTGATCATGTTTTTGAGTACTGGGGTTATATACCTGATTCTCCATGTATTGTACTTTGTCTTTCTGCACCCTCAGCTGGGTTACACTTCTGTCCCCAGGAGCATGGTCAGTAGAAAGGTGTCTAGATTATGAAAAACACATAAAGATGTACAGATATCGGGTATTGTTGGAATTATTTATTAAATTATATAGTTAACCCTTTAGAACCTGAAGCTAAAATAGGTGTTTTTCACATATTTAGATTTTTTGACTCTAAAATTCTAAAACAATGTGGTATCTTCATGTGCAAGGTGTCATCTTTTTCAGAAAAAAAATAGCTTTCAACAAATTACAGTTATTGAACATTACTGTGTGTGGTGAGTTTGTAAATAGAATTTAAATAGACAAAAATAAAAAAGCGAGAATAAATTTACTGATTTTTATTTAGAAAAAAAAACAGACAAATCACGAACGAAAGAAACTAACACTTTAAAGTAGGGCTGCTCGATTATAGAGAAAATCATAATCACGATTTTTTTGGTCAGTATTGAAATCACGATTATGTAACACAATTATTTCACATGACTTTGGGAACTTGTTGCATTTATTAAAAAGACACATTTCAACAATTCTTAAAAAAATTCGAAATTTGAACATGTATTGTACTCTTTGAACTATTAAACAGACCTGCAAACTCACAAGTGGTGAAAAAGGTGACATGTTTACGAAGTAATTTGTTGTAGGGGGGTCTGAGGCATCATCCCCCATGAGACATTTTTATGATTTTAACATTTAAATGAAGCATTCTGGTGCATTCTGACAAGAAAACATTTTGCTTCAAGACATTTGCTTCAAGTAAAAAAAAAATATTAACACAATTTGATTCCATATTGATTAATTTAAGGCCTATCAGGTACAGTACATAACAAGAAAAAATATCTCTCAACTAATGCTGTAAAGTAAACCATAAGGAACCCCAGTACATCATTCTAATATTAAAGGTTAAAAATGATTTATTTCACTTATTCCATTTAAATCACACATAAGGAAGTTTTTATAATAATGTTATAATACATTTTTAATGACAAAATTACTTTTTAAATGGTGTCTGTCATAAGTAAATATAATTTATTTTGAAGCAATATTCTCATCATCTTTTACATACTTAAATCTGCGTATTTGTGATTTTTACACCAGGGCGTTATTTACCTTTATAAAGGACAATTTTTTAAACCTTACTAAATATATGCGTTATCTTTCATGTCAAATTCTAACATTTGGTCAAATTCAGTTTTATTAAAAAGGGCTGTTATCAATCAAATTAATTAATGTACACTGCAAAAAAATTACAACTGTAATAAATAATTTTATGAGATTAATGTTTAAACAAATAATAAAATTAAAAATTAAAAATTAAATCAATGATGCCTTTAAACAATAAACCAATAGGTGGCGGTCAGTGACAGTCTTAATAAATGAATCATTGAGTCATTCATTAAAACGATTCGTTCAAAATACTGAATCATTCAATAACAAAACACAGCGCTTAGTACTGCTTTTCTTTTGTAACTATATTCGTCGGTTAAATAGAACAAAACCAGTCAATATTGCGTCTAAATTGTAAGTGACTACATATTAACTAGGCTACTTGTTTATTAAACTATAAATTAAATGTAGGCCTAACATTTGCAATCGTGATATAGCTAACGTTAACGTTATATGTTCTAGAGCAGCCCTTAGTCGTGTTATGTTACTTAACTTTATCATATATTAAATAAAAAAACTCAACATTTTTACCTCAGTATTTCTTCTGTAAGTTTTTTGTGTGCTGTTACGCTCATTTGTTTAGATTTCTCCACTAATGTCTCTCTCACAAATAGACAGGCAGCGCAGCTTCCAGAAATACACTAACTTATCCATTACCAATCGCTGTTTACACTGACTGTATCAGAATCATTCTCTCGTTTCGATCGGTCGGGCAAGTAAAACTCTTTCACTTGAAACTTAAAAAAAAAAAAAAACACTTTTCCCGGACAAGCAGATAAGTGTTAATGTCGAGCCCTGTGTTCATTCTCAATTTGTTTCGAGCTGTAAAGCGGAACAGATGATCAGGTCATAAGCGCTCGCGCTGCCGTTTGCTGGAACTGAGGCGCTACAGTCTCACTCCAGTCTATTACGGTAAATAAGCCTATTGTTATTGTGAAGTTTATTGTGCTAGCAATTTATGACTGTATAGCAGAGGTGGGTAGTAACGAAGTACATTTACTTCGTTACATTTACTTGAGTATTTTTTTGGAAAATTTGTACTTTTAAGAGTAGATTTAATTGTGGGTACTTTTACTTTAACTCGAGTAGATTTCTAATGAAAAAACTGTACTTTTACTTCGTTACGTTTGGCGACGTTCCTCTCGTTACTTTATTTTAATGCAATATGTTGTTAAAAGCGTAGTTTATTCTAAGCGCGCGCTCTCTCTTTTTTCTGGGCATGAGCGATGCTCAATTCACAAATGAATCACTCTTTTGAGTCGATTCTGTTCAAAGACTTCATCAAACAAGTTGGGCAGATCTGTCTAAATCGGTTCGCGAATCAGTTGGAATGATCTGTTCAGTTTCCTCACGCACTGAATCGTCTCGGAGTCGTAACAGGAAGATTTAAGAACATCAAGAGCGTTGTATTAAGTGGCGGTCCACAGTCTACAGTACAGTCTAGAAAGTAAATCTGCAAATGCATCATATTTTTTGCCAGCGATGAAGATCTTTATTAGTTGAACTTGAACATCTTCGTATGTTACTTCGTAAGCTGTCTGTGAATGAATGATTCCACACGACGATACATTCGATTTCATTCAGGACAAGGTAATACATTTTACAACCAAACAGATTATTGCGCCATATAGCACTACTACAAAGTATGGCATTACCCTTTTTTTGGACATATACATTACTTTATACATTAAATAAGCTATCATCGTCCAGTTTATGAATGTGTGTACACACACAATGAGTGTGTATTGCGCAGTGGCGTGCGAACTCGACTTGAAAACGAATGCCTTTGCCTGCCTTATTAGACACAGTTAACCAGTTTAAAGATGCTTTCATAAATATAGCCTACATTTAAATACATTTTGGAGAACAGACAGAAGAAGATCCGTGCATTTGATCGTTGTTTATGTTGGGCATGACATGACTGCGAGCACATGTGCAGAGTTTTAACACTTTCTAATCTGTCAATGGTTCCCATCCCTTGAATGCAAAACTCCATAGAGTCACTTTATTCCGACATTGCCTAATAATCCAAATGTAGTTGTATAAGTTACTATACTATTATACAAACCAAAGGACAGCCAATGGTTTTCAGGCTATAGATATACAGAAATAATGTTTGTCTCTTCTGTTTTTGTTGCAAAGATAGCTTATCTAATTATGATAATAATAGTCATTTAAATGAAAAAAAAAAAATCTAAATAATATCATGTTACATATACAGTATATATATATAGGCCTATGTGTAAAGTAACTAGTAACTAACTACTTGAGTAGTTTTTTCATTGGATACTTTTTTACTCTTACTCAAGTAACTTTTAAGATTATTACTTTTACTTTTACTTTGAGTAAATATTTCTATAAGTACTTGTACTTTTACTTGAGTACAGTTTTTGGATACTCTACCCACCTCTGCTGTATAGGCTGAGAGAGTTTATGGCTTCGTGGGGGGCAGATGTGCTCGTGTCATTCAGAACACAAGACAAAATATAAGAGTGTTCTTGCAAAACAGAACATGGCAAAATAATCGTTCTTACTCGATTGTACTATTTTGGTGATCGTTGGGATTCAATTGCACAGCCCTACTTTAAAGTTGAAAAATTAACTATAATACATATATAGTCTTTTATTGTGACATTGGGTTGCACAGTTTTCATTTAGGACACTTTTTTTTCATACACGCACACACATACAAATGCTTGCATACATTATATAGGCAAGCACACATACACACCACATGCTAAGATACGTGAAAGAGTAACGGTCATCCGCCTCCCAAGTTTCATAAAAAATCATCCCAATCCCTTCTTCTGCTGTCTACTACTTCTTTCGCCATGTATTTGTTCGTTTCTTTTATTATTTTATGAAATCCAAAACACTCTAACGTGCCGCGCTTCGTATCTCTCTGTTCAAATCCTTCCTTCCCAGTTCCCGCTCTGCCCAAGAGGTCCCCGCTGCAGCCTGTAGCACGATGACGTAGCTGGATGGTCCAATACGTATTGGATGGAGGTGTGTTTTGCTGACGTCATATACGCATGCGCACTAGTCAAGTCAAGTCAACTTCATTTATAGCGCTTTTAACCCAAGGGGGTAATCCATCGACCGGAAGTTGAAGCCGGCCGGGTGCCGCCATGTTGTAGCAGAACTTCACTTGCGTTAGCATTTCCATTGACTCCCATTCATTTTTGCGTCACTTTGACAGCGAATAACTTTACATCTGAGGCGTTTAAAGACTCCATTTGTCCATTATTTATTTCTAAAGAAACACGACAATGTATAAAGGGCTCCATTACCTTCTATGTTACACTATGGCCCCGTAGAAACAGATTTAGTAAAAATAGGCTAACGATTGCGTCATAACCACTCGACTCTCTGTCGCGCTGTACAGAAATTACCGTACAGACAGGAGGAGAAGCTCGCAGGCAATCGGGGGGACGTCCCGTCAAGGGAGAAGCCCACAGATAATGAGTCCATAAAAGCAACGGAATACTTACTCCTGCTCACTCACGCCAAAGAACTCTTTGCTCAAGTTCCCCGTCTCTGCAAGATTAACGTTGGCAATTTTCACGCACAGCTACTAGAAGATTAACGTCTGTCAGACAGGTTGCTCACGTCATCAAGCTTATGCCGAGTTCAGACTGCACGATTTTCAAAATAATCGGGTCACTGTTGTTTTCACACTGCATGACTATCTGGGGTAACATTCAGTTGCTGCTGTGTTCACACTGCACGATGGATCGGCGACAGGAGGTTTCACACTGCATGACTTTACAAAAGAAAAAAAAGCCGACAACTTCTGCCTGGTCCGCAAACTACGTTTCACAACCAAACAAACGCGAGAAGTGATAGGAAATAACGGAAGGTCACGCGTGCGTGAGACCGGAGTTCTCGCGCGACACTGAATTTGTTATTAAAAATGATAGCCTACAAATTGTATGTGCACTGATTTGTAGCGAAAATGAAAAAGAAAAGAAAAAAACAGTTTATGCAGGAAATGGTTGGGAAGACGAGGGGAGCAAGGACTGTGTTTTGCAAAGAGAGTTGGGGGTAAATAAATAATTTTGCAAATGTCCTGCTGTTGTTGCTGGTCATGCAAACGTTTGTGCTTTGTTTCTGTTTGATATAATTGTTAATATAGGCCTATCTATTAAAATACTGATATTCTGGTCTATAACTCCCAATATTAGGTCATCGCCGATGTAGTTTTCAGTCAGAACACATTCACACAGCAGGATTGTGAATCGCCGACAGGTCCAGATATTTAGCATGCCAAATATCTCACGGGCGTCGGCGACTTGTCGGCGATTCTCTCAGATCGCGTCTTTGCTCATTCACACTGCGTGATTGTCATTCGCGTGAACGAGCACCGATTTGCCTGTGATTTCGGACATTTGTCGGCGATTTCTCAAAACCTGTCGGCGAGCCAAAATCGGGGCTAAAATCGTGCAGTCTGAACTCGGCATTAGTTTGAGTCGGTTTGAGTCTGCGCGTCAGGAACGGAAGTGCTCAAAAATCGCTAAAAATGGGCTTCAACTGTCTCAACTGAGTTCCAATGAGATGGCTCTGTCCACTTCTTATACTGTCTATGCTTTTAACCATGTAGATTGTTTCAAAGCAGAGATAAACATATAATTTAAGGTAAATGAGATTGTTTTGGCTTTATAGCGGTTCTTAAATAATGTTTAAGAACCTGTGATAAACGCTGATGGCGTTCATATGCGCATTAAGAATTGATTCTATAGTTAGAGTAGGTGTAGAGAGAGTAGAGAGTTGGTGAACGATCGCACGTGCTTTGATCTTCCAAGAAGAATAAAGTAAGTTAAATAAACTCGCAATTGTGAGGAAAAAGTCGCAATTATATATTTTTAAATGTTTTATTCTGTGGCGGAAAAGAGCTTCCATACTCAAGTGACCATTTATATTTAACTTAACGTTACTTTATTCTTCTTGGAAGATCAAAGCACGTGCGATCGTTCACCAACTCTCTACTCTCTCTACACCTACTCCAACTATACAAGTTTTAGGGCTGGACGATATGATGATATACAGTATAACATTAATGTAAGTGATCACTCGGATTTAGACCTATCTATATTGTATTTATATAAAACGTTTACAGGCAAATTGTCTTCATTTATTTCCCCGGCGTCGAAATCAGGCACATATAAATGTCAGGAAACACGATTCCTGGCTGCATGTCAATATCCATGGATCACTGGATCTTTGATAAGTTGTAAGGAACACTATATCGAGTCCAACTTTTAGTTTAAACTGATAATAGTTTGTTTTACTCGCGTTAACGCAGTTTCCCCTATTAACTCCAGTCACGCAGCAGCTCTTCTGCCACTCAGTCCCGCTGAGGGGGGCGTGTTCCGGCGGGGAAGTGACGTTAATGCATTCCCTCTATAAAGTCAGAATTCTGAATTTATAATAGGCCTACATAATTGGGAGTTTACGTCTCCCAATTCTGAATTTTTTTCTCATAATTGTGACATAAACTCGCAATTGCGAATTATAAAGTCAAATTCTAAGGGAAAAAATGACTTATTTTTTTAACCTCAGAATAGTTTAATATCTCACAATTCTGACTGGCTATAACACGCAATTGCGACTTATCATGCAATTCTGACTTTATATCTCCCAATTGGTATTATAAAGTCGAAATTCTGACTTTTTTCTCGCAATTCTGAATTTATAACACATAATTAAGATTTTATATCTATCAATTCGGACATATTTTCTTAGAATTGTGAGATATAAACTCGCAATTGCGAGTTATAAAGTCAAATTTTACCTCAGAATAGTTCTCTCACAATTCTGACTTTATAACACACAATTGCGACTTTATATCATGCAATTCTGACTTTAGCCTATATCTCCAATTTGCGTAGGTTATTATAAAGCCAGAATTTCAAGAAGCCTCGCAATTGCGAGTTTATATCTCATAATTCTGACTTAACACGCAATTGCGACTTTATATCACGCAATTCTGACGTTATAACCTGCAATTGCGACTTCAATTCTGAGATAAAAAGTCAGAGTAGTGAGATAAAGTTACCTTTTTTATTTCTCACTCTGTGGCGAAAACAAGCTTCTATAGCCTACCATATGTATTGCAGACACTGAACTGTGGAAAAATGAGTAGGCTATAGCCATTAAAGAAGAAACTCTTACCAGGCAAAATATCAAGCACTGTTTTTTTTCTTTCTTTTTTTTTTTACATCTGACAAGATTTATTTTCTTGATGCTGTTATTATTTTTGCATTTTCCCTTAAATGTGTACTGGTATCTTAAAATGTTTACAGACTTTATTGTATTGTACCTTTAAAATTACAAAGACAATTTGGCTACTTGATTCATTTTTGCTTCCACTCAACAGCAAATGTGACCTGAATAAAATAAAATGGCTTTAAAAAAAAAAAAAAAAAAACTTGCGGTGCTGAGGACATGCTATTAATCTATCAAATTTAGGTTTAAAATCATGTGATTTAAAATGTTGTAAAATTAACTATTTTGCATAGCCTATGTGTGAAACTCGGATAAGCATCCCATTTATGTAAATAATTACTTATTTATCAATAATTACTATTTAGCAGTACTATACTACACAGGTTAGAACATCATATCAGTACAATATTGAGCATATATGTCACTTAAAACCAGCGCATGCGAATTAAAATCCAGAGATCGACACTGCGCATGCGTATATGACGTCAGCAAAACACACCTCCATCCAATACGTATTGGACCACCCAGCTACGTCATCGTGCTACAGGCTGCAGCGAGGGGTGTCTCGCTCTGCCACTACTGCCAGAAAGCTGCTGTCATTTGGTGACGGAAAGCATTACCGTAATAAGCCGTATATTGCCGAAAAGCGCATATTGTCTACTGTCAGGGGCAATTTGAATGGTTTTGATGGTGCAAACGGTTGAAGAGTTTACGGTAAAATTAATACAGCTTGCTGGTTTAAAAGGGTTAATTTAAATTGTTTTGTCTCACCTTAAGAAATGTCCATATTCTTTGAACACTTCCCTGCTCTTTGAGCACCCCGGCCATCTGCATTGTCCTTTAACACACAGAAAACTGCCAGGAACACTGAATGGATGCCTAGAGATATATAAAAAAAATGCTTCGTTTAGCACAAATGTGGACATTATGTATTTTTAATTTCTTGTTTGTGTGTTTGTTTACTCAAACCAGATACTCACTTCCCAGAATTTTCTGGGCTTCCAGGCTGAGGACTTGACACAGAGGCACTGAGTCTGTTTTCAGATTGGCTGGTGTAAAGTGGGACCGGGTCTGTCATGTTGCTGTCAGGTTCTGTCTTACACACAGTGTCCACAGCCCAGTCATGAACACCACATCCTGTGTAGCATTATGAAAAGGTTAGTTTTAGAGAAAAATTGTTTTATATTTTTCAGTTTTGATAGAGTCTACAGTACCAGTACCTTGTGGGAAAGGCTGGTTGCCTTTGCGTAATACTGATGGTCTGTGCTGTCTAAAATACTTGCTTGTATTTTCACTGGCACTCTAGATAAAGACAACAGAAACTCATCATGCATCATTTTTATACTACCCAATGCTACATGTTTCAGTTTTTAAAATGTAATTCTATTCAATTCCTTTTAAATGTACAGTAAGTGATTTCTAAGAAAAGCTGTTGAAAGTGGATCATACCGAGCACCACAACACACTTGTAGCAATTCAGCAATAGGGGGCGTGTCCACTCATGATGGGGGAGGAGAGAGAGTTAGCAAGAGGGAGATTTGAAGAAAGACTGTAGAAAGAGCCATGGCTGATAGACATTACAAATGAGTAAAGGTCAGAGGAATATCATCGGGAAAAGAAGGGTCATGAGCTTCAGGACCCGCGTAAATATTAAAAAAGCTTTCCAGTGCCAAAGAGGTGACCCAAGTGGAAAGACCTGAAAACTCAACGCCAAAGTTGCGTTGTTTCTGCTCCATACTGTACGTGAGTAATATTTTGCTATGTTTCACAGAACCAAAAGATGCTGATGTTGTAATGTTAGCTTTAGTAACAGGAGATTTTAGTGTCATTGTTTGTCTGGAGCTGGTGTTCTGTCGGGACTAACAACAAACTCTTGCTTTTATATACTCTTGTATACTATTTGTTAAATTTTTTTGTTCTTCCTTGTTGTTTGTCATCTTCACTTTATTTATTCAGCTATTCCTCAGCTATGATAATGAGACATCTACTCTTGCATTGCATGTTCGTGCATTTTGGTGGGTGGAGCAATGACAGGTGGGGTGTGTTTGTTTGGTGTTTCTCAGAAATTGCTTACTGCACCAATAATCCTTTAGTTTTTGGGAAAGGTGTTGCTATGGAAGTGAAACCTTTTATGATTGGGCTGTACCTGCTGCTGTAGAGTGGAATTTTGAATGTGAGATGAGCCAGCACCTCTGAGATCACTCTCCATAGCAACAGATACCTTTGAAATCACAATCACAAAAAGATAAAATTTTAAAGTTTGCGGAATGCCTTTTTAAATTTACACAGGCATTTTGTGATATAGCACTTATACATTCTTCAGTATGATGTTACTTGAGCTGTGAATTTCTAAAGTTGTCTAACTATGTTTGAGGACTCTTTTTTAGTGGAAGAACTTAAATTAACATTATTAATATTCCTTTAATTTCTAAATATAAATATGGCAGTTTCCAGTCTGTTACCTTGGTAGCCATTAGTTTAGCTGAGCTAAGAGGTGATCTGCTTGCTCTGGGCTTCATCTGTATGCTGGAAAAGGTGGGATAGTCTTCCTCTTGGTACTGATGTTGGTGAATGCTTCGGTTTTCTTCACCTCTGTATGTTCCAGGACCATTTTGAAGCATTCCTATATAGAAATAAATAGGAAGTTATACTTAACTGCAAGAGCTTACAGTTCATTAACTTTAACGTACTACTAAGGACTGAAAGTGAAATTAATCAGCCCTCCAAGTACTAGCACAAAGTATTTCCTGTGCAAATACATGTACCTTTTGCTTTGTTTCCAAATATAGTAGAACTAAACTCATTTGAATTCAAAACTGCTAAATGAAATGGAGGTTGTTTTTCTTTCTCTTGTTTCACTGTGCAGGTTCTCTGAACACAAACTACAGTTTCCCTAAAGCAGGAACCAAGAGGTCAGGAAAAGCAGTGGTGGGCCCTTCTTATTTTAAAGGGGTCATGACATGATAATTTAAATTTGCCTTGTTTTTTGACATATAAGAGGTCTTTGTACCATTAAAACATGCATAGATTAAAATTTCCTCCTCATTTTAAACAAAGCATTTATTTGACCAAGCTCCAAAAACATCTAGTTTGGATATTGTGAAATTTGTGACGTCACACGCGCAAATACATTTGCATATGACTGCCTCCAGATCAAGACATCGACGAATAGTTATACACCAACGCACCTAAGGCTCCGCTCACTGGCATTCAGTCGCTTAACGGATGACATTTGCCTACACCGATGTGAGTGTCACGTGGCATCAAGCAGTTAGAACCCATTATAATCACTGACGCTGTCTACACTGGATATAGTACACAGATGTGCGTTCAGTTTCTGACATACTCCACGCACTGGAATCTGTCGACAACAGGACAAATGGAAAAGTGAAAGAACATTCGTGTTGACGTGTCCAGTTTAAACTAGGGATGGGCATTTTTCAAAAATATTGCATTCGAATATTTGGGCTCATAAAAATCGAAAAATATTCGAATATTCGTTTATTTAAATGACGTTTAATGAAAAGACGTTATTTTTTAAGTTAATTTTTTTTTTTCACGTTTTTGTCACCATTTCTGAACAAACTTAAAATTAGGCAATATACACAACAAGCTTACAATATATGTTAAAGTTTTCTTTTAGTTGAAAACATTAAACAGTAGGCCTATGTGTAAACAAAAAATATAAAAAACAAAAGCATTAATAAAAGCATGCTTAAGCAGCGCAAACGGGAAAAAAACGCCTAATAAAGCAGATTGCGCCAGATATCGTACAGAACGTACACAGACACAGACACACACACACACACACGAGTCAGCATATGATTATCGTGTTTATATTGTTTCACGTTTTTATTGAGAAAAACAATATCCACATGCAGGGGCGCCGCCAGCAATTTATGCTCGAGGGAGAAAAGGCGCTTTGCTGACAGACGCTTTAGAGACACAAAGATAACGGTGTTCTAAGTTTCTAACAGCACTTTGCGTTTTCTGTTCTTAAACCTGTCTCCCTCAACGAAACCTAAAGGAAGTATATGTCTCAAAATCATTTTGCTATAAGATAAGTTATCATTTCGGATCACGCGGGGTCCAGCTGCGCTTACCTGCAGTCGTGAATGCAGTGATGGACAGCTATCTTTCCTCATTCGACTGTTTGGATTTCATGTGATTTCTCATTGTGTTGATGATATTATAACTCAGATTAATTAATTAATTCGATCAAAAGTAATTCCATTTAGTAAGATCATTTTCAAGTAATTCCAAACTTCGCGAGGCAGACGACAACAACATTATGTGATCAAATACACACAACTTGTTAACACACTCCACAGCGCCACCCAGTGCATTTAATTATAACTGCGAGTTAGTGCTTGGGATTTATCATGGATTCACTGCATTTACGGCCAGCAAAGCAATGTAGTAAAATTCGAATAGTATTTTATTTTTCGAATGATAATTACAGATCGAAAATTCGAATATTCGTGCACATCCCTAGTTTAAACAGCTCATTTGCATCTCTGTATAGACTTCAGAAGGATCCCAGCATCAGAAACAAGTGGATGGATTATTGCAATGACGTCCCGGATCACGTCGGAGGATTATATGTTTGTTCGGAGCATTTTGTGCGAGTGTTTCAACACATCCTCGCCCTGAGCGAGCTGTCATCATAGTCCGCCATTGTTGATATGCGAGCTGTCATCATAGTCCGCCATTGTTGTAAAGAGACCCCAATGGGGCTGGTAAGGGTTAGCTACCCTTGTCGGCAGTATCCAGCTCCGTGTTTACAGGATGCTGGAAACACCCGCCCAAGGCTTCTGAGAAATTAAAGAGAAAAATACCCCTAGAGTCTGCGAGAGCGGGGGCGGAAGATGACTCAATGTTGGACAACATGGTTAATGACTTAGGAATGGAAACGGATATGAGTATGGAGAGTAAGACTAGTCCAAGATCTGCAGTTAGTAAAGTCATTGAACTCCAAGTTTGTGTCTGTGGCTGGAGCAAGGCGACAACGGTCAGGGGTTTGAAGGTTCATCAAGGGAAAATGAAATGCTTGAGGGAGAAGGGACAAGGGCCTCGCATTGATCAGTACTTCTTACGAAGTCAGTCAAGTCAGTCGAATGAAATCCAGCAACAGGAAGCAAACCACAGCTCGCAGGATATCAGCGCCCCTGTCATAGAGGAGAGGAGGGCTTGCACAGTTAGTGATGAACATATTCATACTTGTGAACCCGGTCAGACTAAACAGCATAAGAGAGAAAAGAACCTCAACGGGCATAGGCCTGGAGTTAGATGGCCAAGAGCTTGTGAGAAAACTGCATGGGACACGGTAAACACAGATCTATGCTTTGCATTGGAAAGATTAACTGGTACAGTTGAAAAGAAGCTGGATAAATTTGGGGACATCATTTACGCATATGGAAGTGAGAGGTTTGGTGTGGAAAAAAGGAAGGAAAAAGTACAGACTACTCCTGGAATGTCTAGACGGCAGCAGAAAATTGAAGGGTTAGTTAGAGAAAGGAGACAGCTGAGGAAGCAATGGAAAAGAGCAGAACAAAGTCAGAAGGAGGGACTCAATCTCTTACAAAGGGCCATAAAAGATAAGCTGGCAACAGTACGCAGAGCTGAGCGTCTACGGAAACGCTACAAAAAGAAGGAACGTGCGAGGGCTAATTTCTATAAAGACCCATTCAAATTCGTAAAGAAGTTATTCACCAGGGAGAAGAATGGCACTTTAAAAGCATCTAGGGTTGAGCTAGAGAGATATTTGGAGGAAACGCATACAGATGCAAAAAGGCATGAGCCTATGTCAATTCCATCAGACATACCACCTATCAACCCACCAGAATACCAAATGGAGGTCTGTGCACCTAAGTGGAAAGAGGTAGAGCAGGCTGTGAGAAAGGCAAGGGCTTCATCATCTCCAGGGCCTAATGGAGTTCCGTACAGAGTGTACAAGAGTGCTTCAGGAGTTCTGCGAATTCTGTGGAAATTGATAAAAGTGGCATGGGAAAAACAGGTTGTACCTAGAGCATGGCACAGAGCAGGTGGAGTCTTTATACCTAAAGAAAAAGATGCTACAAGCATCAGTCAGTTTCGTCCTATTTCACTATTAAACGTTGAAGGTAAGATTTTCTTCAGCATTATTGCCCAGAGATTGTCCACCTACCTATTAAAGAATGGCTTCATTGACACTTCAGTTCAAAAAGCGGGCATTCCAGGGTTCTCAGGATGCTTAGAACACAACAATGTTATCTGGCAACGAATTCAGTCAGCTAAAAAGGAGAGGAAGGAGCTCCATGTGACATTCCTGGATTTGGCTAATGCATATGGTTCAGTGCCACATGAGCTTCTTTGGGCAGCATTTGATTTTTTCAGAGTACCAATGTCAATAACAAATTTAGTGAAAGCCTATTTTGGAGATTTGCAATTTAGTTTCTCAACTCCAAAATTCAGCACCGCATGGCAATGCTTAGAGGTTGGAATAATGGCAGGATGCACCATTTCTCCACTGGCTTTTACCATGGCAATGGAAGTAATCATTAGGGCATCAAGATGGGTAGTAGGAGGAGAGCGCTTGGCTTCTGGGATGCGACTACCACCAATCAGAGCATACATGGATGACATGACAACCATGACTACAACAGTAGCCTGCACTAATCGGTTATTGGGGAAGTTAACAGATAATATTGAATGGCCACGAATGCAATTTAAGCCCTCTAAATCAAGGAGCATCTCGATAGTTAAAGGAAAGGTAGTAGATAAAACATTCTTCATTAATGGTGAGGCAATACCAACAGTTTCTGAGAAGCCAGTGAAGAGTCTTGGGAGATGGTACGATGGGGATCTAAAGGACACAGTTCGAGTGGGAGAAGTTAGACGACAAGCAGTGGAAGGGTTGAAGAGCATAAACAGCTGTGCTCTACCAGGCAAACTAAACCTCTGGTGCTTTCAGTTTGGTCTACTGCCAAGGTTGCTGTGGCCACTGACTGTGTACAAGGTTTCTTTGACAACAGTGGATAAGCTGGAAGCGTTAATAAGTTCATACATCAGGAAATGGTTGGGAGTTCCACGCTGCCTCAGCAGAGTCGTGGGATATCGTGGGACAGGTACAGCATGGAAGAGTTGGTTTTGGGCTCAGTTTAGCTCCTCCTAAATGGCACAAGGCAGGCCCAGCTCAAAGGAGGAAGCTGGTAGTCAACGAGGTGCGAAAGCAGGAGTAGAGGATGAGATGTATAAAGGCCATTTCCCAGGCCAAGCAGGGAGAGTGGATGAGATGGGAGAGTGTGGAACAACGCAAAATGGGCTGGCAAGACCTTTGATCAATGGAAGAGAGTAGGATCAGTTTCCTTATTAGGTCAACATATGATGTTCTCCCATCACCGCAGAACCTAAACCTCTGGGTAGGAGAGGATCCCTCTTGTCTTTTGTGTTCATCACCTGCCACATTAAGGCACATTTTGACAGGATGTAAGGTGGCTCTTAGCCAAGGTCGGTTTACTTGGCGCCATGACCAAGTATTGCGATGTTTGGCTTTAGCATTGGAAGGCAAGCGTAGTATGACCAATAAGTTGCCGCCTGTTCTAGCAAAACAATACACGCAGAAGACAATATTCCTCCACCCAGGCGAGCAACCACCAAGAAAAGGTGCTAACACCAATTCTCGCCCAGGACAACTGGAAGCTGCTGGGGACTGGAAGATGCTGGCTGATCTTGATCAACGGCTTATTTTTCCACCTGAGATTGCCACCACTAACCTACGACCAGATATTGTTTTGTGGTCTGGATCAGCAAGCATTGTTCAACTGATAGAGTTAACAGTGCCATGGGAGGATGCGGTAGATGAGGCATATGAGAGGAAGAAACTGCGGTATGCTCATCTGGCCACTGAAGCAGAACAGCGAGGATGGAGAGTCCAGGTTTATCCAGTGGAAGTGGGTTGTCGAGGTTTTGTGGCACACTCTACAACCCGGTTCCTCAGAGACGTCGGATTCAGTGGCCAAGAGTTGCGTCGCACAGTAAAGAACTTATCTGAAGCAGCAGAAAGGAGCAGCAACTGGCTGTGGTTGAGACGGAAAGATTCTAGCTGGCTGTGTACAGGCCGCCACGCTACGGTTTCGTAGAATTCTTGAAAACTTGAAGAGTCTGTTGGTTTATTTGTATAGGTTGTATAGTATTTACAGTCATTACGTTCCTGTGTATATTGCGTGAATGACGGGTGGTTGGGCAGATATTGTGTTTTGCGGTAGGTGGTATGCCATACGGAACCGTTGCCACTGAAACTGCATATTAACGCACCAGTGGGGCTCGGCAGCCTTAGTCAAACGGGTTGGCGCGTATGGTTGGGTTGCGGAGAGATTGTGAGATTGTGGTTAGGTCTCAGCAGCAGGAGGGATGTAGAGGTCAGTAAGCTGGGCTGAGTTGAGTGGGGGACGGAAGGGGGTGACTCTGGGACGCCAGAGTCACTGTCGAGCCCTCTTGAGGTGTCGTGGGCTAGTCGACGAAACACTGAGGACGGAAGGTGCCCACTTGAAGACCCTAGAGATGTCCCCTACTTGGCTCAATCCAGACGGTTGTCGTGCTGGTCCACTAGGGAGACCACACTGTAGTTGCAGCTGTCCTGTGTGCTGACGCGCCAAGTACACTGCAGTCGTTAACGCCGGACAGAAGGGGAGTCACAACACCATATGGAAAGAAGCGTAAATGGGTGAAGCATAGTTTACTGTAAAGCTACGTCTTAGTGTTGCTTATCTTGGCGAAAGCAGAGTACAAATCAGCATGAAGTTTTAACATCTACTCTCGTGTAATGGAAATCTGGAGCAGAATGGCGTCTAAGCCATTGTGGTGTTCTGTTCTTGGGTGTAATAACGAACACAGTCATTTATGTTTCTAAATCCGAACCGCTGAAGACGCAGTGGCTGAGTTTTGTTTTCGAAGGGAATATTCCCCACGAGCAACGTCAATGCTTTCATGTTTGCGCGATTTGCAAATCTTTTCTCACCAGACTGCTTTATAAACGAGGGTCAGTATAAGCTGGTTTTGCTAAGAAGCTGCTCCTGAAAAAAGAATCGGTACCAACTATTCGTGTCCCTGCTGCACCTCCAGAAGAAGTGAGTGTAAAATCTTATTAACCTTTATATTAATCTTTGCAAATCGCTTGGACGCTTCGCGATGAATGCGGCTAAGGTTTACACTCAGGGTACATTACGGCATGTTTCCTATGTACGACGTTCTCAATATATTTCATAATCCCACGTTTATAATGAACAACGCGTTATGGTTATTGTGTTATTACAAACTGAGTACGTATACATCAGTAAACACATAACTTAACGTTAGCGTTCGTAACGTTACATCTCACTAAGTTACTCTACCCTGCCAGTACACAAAGATAGATCAAAGTGACATTATGTTAACCAACCATTCAGAAACGTCCTGTTCGAGACTTAATTGTCGAACTTCTTTGCGGCCGTCATCTTGTTCCGGGTGCGACTCCGGTTCAAACTGATACGGTTGCACAGATGTGTCCTCAGAGACTCCCGCTGCCATTCTTTCTCCAAAATATACCCTCAACTGTTGTCAAGGCAACACTCCACGTGCATTATGTCAAAACCATGGTCAAAACTCCCGCAGAACAGAGGGGCGGAGTGAGCGAAGCTCATTATCATTTAAAGGCATATGCACTGAAACGGCATGCTGAAAACAGAGCTATTTTTGACCAGGTAAAATTAGTGTTTTCTTACAATACTAATGAGAATTTTTAATTAAAGTATATTACAAACTTTTAATTTAGACCCTAAAGAATCAAATTAACTTGTATGAAAATGGCATTATTTGACCCCTTTAAAACCCTGGATGGACTTAAAGGAATAATCTTGCACATGTAACTTCTGAGAAAGAAAGAAAAAATCTTCATCTTTGGATTTTAGAGCACTATTGTCATTGCGGTTTTCTGAACTTGTTTAAGAAGTCATGTGTGGATGGTGTTGCTTATTTCTCTGACATTTGACATTAACCACATCAAGTATGATAAATGTCAAATTTTTTCACCTGGGGGGTTTTTCAAGTAAGCAACTTGGTTTGATAAGAAGGAGATACAGATGTAGGAAATCAGAGAAGAGCCTTATTTTGGTGCTGAATAGTAACAAATGTTTTCAAATATGCTATAAATACTCCCCCCCGCTCCCCTAAAAAAAATATAAATTACAGCACATTTCTAAAAGTAGCAATGTTATTTAATTACCCTTTTTTTCTGCGCTTCTCAGAACTCTGTATCTTTCTTCATCAAGACTAATTATTAGATGTTCAGTTTATATTGGCTACATGCAAGGGTGCAACTTTCCAGTCATTTGCAATGTTGTGCCGTTGTGCCATGTACATTGACAGAAATTTGTTCAGCCAAAAGTTCAACCAGAGGATGATATTGATGAGGATTACTCAAGGCATTGAAACTCATTATTCATCTCTCAGTCTGAATACAGCCTTCTCTCAGTTCCATGCAACGACATAAACTCCCTCAAGATATGAGAATAGTCTGGACTGACAGCAAGTTTCATTTATGCCACTATAGAAACTTTAGTATTCAGTAAAATCAGTTTTAGTTTCCATGTTATTTTGTGGAATTCATAGTCGCAATGATAATCATTAGGTCTGAGTTGTGACCTAATAGAACCTCAGAAAGAATACCTATCAAATACTTTAAATTAGCAGACACCTGGAATTAAACCTGAAATCTAAAAAAAAAATATTACAGATATGGAACAGAGAGCAGGCCTAAATTCTCTCCATTTCATTCTGACTCACTTTTTTTCCACTGTATACCCACTCACTTGCTATAGCGTGTTGCTTTTCTCTTAACACACATGAATCAAAGACCAATATATTTGGGGCATGTACTGTACTGTACATTCAAGAAACAAACAAATGATAGTGTTGAATACTTGGACACCATGCTCCACCCAGTTCCACCATCTTGGCTTATTGTTGTTGTAGGTAATAATTAATTGAGGTTAAAGTGGCATCTATTGCATGATCTGTGGCAATTGCTGAAGATATGCAAGTTAACACATTAAAAAGTGTTAGATTTAAAAGGGGGTTAGATTTTCATGCTTTTAAAAAATGACTAACCAGCATCAATATGAATGTCTCCACATTAGTGTATTTTATAGGAATGCATATACAGCCATTTATCATTTCTTAGTTTGGAATAAGTATCTGCCATTTATTTGTTATTGGCCATAACAGGAAAATAAATATTGTCTTATCAAATGCAGTCTTTATCAAAATAATTGTATCGTTTCTTATCTAAGTTGCACATTGGAACATATTTTCCAACATAAAATGTGGTTATCCAGTCACTATCATACAATTATTTTATTATCCTAACTAGCTAATGCAATCACTCTTAAAAAATAATTTTCAATTTCCTCGAAAAACTGTTTGTTCTCTAGTTGTTTCTGACCATGATGCACTGATGCATTAAAGATCCCAGAAACCAAAATACTGATCTGTAGAACTAAAAGTACCATATAGCTCAACTCAGAAAAATTTAAGAACAATTACTTTTAAGAGTAGCTGACACAACAACGTAATTTCTTGATTAAAAACTCACAATAAAGAGGTGGCCCTTTAAAAGACAAAAACAAAGTAATTTTGTGTTTAAAAAAAAAAGGTTGCACCTACTCATTTCTCCTCATGTAGAGCTCTCAGGTACAAAAGAAGTGTATTTTTAGAGTTTTGTAACTTACCCTTTATATCTGTTGGCTGGGTGATCCTTCAATGATTTAATTTGCAGTAGTTTAGCTAACACATGATGGAATTACTATCATAACTGCTGTATCTCTACTCATTTCTCCTCATGTAGAGCTCTCAGGTACACAAGAAGTGAATTTTTAGAGTTTTGTAACTTACCCTTTATATCTGTTGGCTGGGTGATCCTTCTATGATTCAATTTGCAGTAGTTTAGCTAACAAATGATGGAATTACTATCATAACTGCTGTATCTCTGTAGAAGAAAGAATGTTTTACCTCCCACACCTTTTTCTTTGTCTGTCGCGCTTTTCCTTGAGACTTTCAGTCTGTGAGCTTTTGCGTTTTCCTATACGTTCTCCTCAGCAAATGGCTGTGGTGCCTCTGAACAGGAAAGAAAAACCAAACACTGAGTTTGTAAGATCCACAGACCTCATCTGCATCTGCACTTTAGGAAAGGAAAGTACACCATTTGGTTGCTTGTCTCTTTTTCCTATGCTGATCTGTGTTAGTTTGTCAGGTTAAACAAAAAACTACAGTGTAATGCAGTGTTGTCAGTAAACAGTATGTAAATTGTCACATCACCTTGATTTTCAATGCTATTTTATGTGTAACATGAATAACAATTAATTCAGTGGTTGGTTTGAGAAGTGCGTGATTATTTTAACCAATCAGAAGGCAAAATAATCTAGCTTTGAAACATCTAATGATTATTAAAACACTTGTCTTTCAAACTGAAAGCAGATTTGGAGTGTTAAAAATTGACCAAAATGTATCTAAATTTGATTATGCAATGATGTGAGCTTTTCAATAATCATAAATCTAAATAGATTTTGAAAACAGTTTTGAAAAGACATATTATATTAACACACACACACACACACACACACACACATATATATATATTAATCCATATTTATTCCAGAAAACAAACAAGTAGCTACTTAATACAACAAGGTTAAAAGAAGGAAAGTAAAAAAGAACTCACCTGTTGGTGCGAGTGTTGGATAGATGTGAGTGAGAGAGCAATTATTAGGGTGAATGCTCTGGAAATGTTCGGGTCATCCCTTTTATAATGTTTAGCATGACATTTAGTGGAAATTAGACGACAGACTGTTTCCTCACAGGGTGTTGGTGTATGTGTATGTGTGTGCGTGTGTGTTCATATTGTATATACATGTGTGCATTTACAGAGTGAGTAGTTACTGCTAGTCAGACTGTCTCCACAAGAAACGTTTGCTCCTATTCATTTGTTTTTAAATCACTTTGCACTTTTTGCACTATGCAATCCAGAATTTTTTTTTTTATAGACTTCTGTAGTCTGTGCTGAATACAGTGTGCGCCCAGCCACCTTCTTGCTCGTTTTCCACAAGTTCAGAAATTATTTGGCATTTGTTGTTTCTGTTTCTTATTTTAGAAATTCTTCATTGCAGCATTTTCCCCCCCTGAGTGTTTACTGGGGAGTTTCTAGATGTAAATGTTTCATATTGCTCACTATTAGGGGTCACATACTGTATGTGTATTGGTAAGAATTATTCCTCTGGTGTGGAGGAGCCAAAGCCCAAATAAATCTCGAACATCTCTTGGTCCATTTAACCACAAGAGAGCAAAAGATTCTGCCAATTTCATTTTGACAGATATCTGTCTTTCACCTCATTCATGCTGTTTAATTTGGAAACATCCTACTTATCTTATAAGATAGCTTATTTTCATCGATCAGATGTTTCAGGTCACATTTAAAGTAATAAATAAAATTAAAATTAAATAATAATTGTGCCCTGTGCTTAAAATAAATAAGGGATATTGTGCCACTTTCAAATCAAAACCTGGTGAAGTCCATTCCGGAAGACCGGAAAATGAGATTGCAAAGAAAATAACCCATTACGTGTTTGGAAAGTCCGTTTGCAGGGTGTGTGACGTTGTATTCGTGTTCTGGGGGGAGACTGAACATATGTACATGTACATAGCATGTGTGTCGATTAGAATAACGCAGGAAAAAACATCCTCATCCTGTGGTTGAAAAAGGTTATTTGAGTGTTTTTGAACAAATTGTTCTTCAATAATGGCACTCCCAAGCACATATACCGTATGTAGACTTGCAAGACTTTTTTGACAGTCTTTTCTGATACAAGTACAAAACTATATACAACTTAAAAACATTTTTGAAGATGAAAACAGAGTAGATTGTTTGAACATGTATCTCAACAACAGGCACATTCATATTAAAAACAAATGCTATTTAGGATCATAATTATATGTCTAAAAGGCTAAAAAGAATTTTTCAAAAATACATATATTTACATTGTTAATAAACTTTCATAAATAAACATTTGATAACTGGTCATCATTCTTTTGGACAGTTTCATGTTCAAAGATTCAAACCATTTTCTGCTGCTATAAATTATTGATTTAATTGGACTGTATAAGGGATCAATGCAGAATGATTATGAAACGACTATTATAACATTTATATACTGAAAAACAGTTATTGTGTCCATACATTTTGAAAGTCTTTATCTTCTATGATCGCACCTCTTTCTGCTCATCTACATTCATTTACAACCTTTATTAAAAAAAACTATTTCTGCTTGCTGAATTAAACACCATGTGATGTTATATAAGCCCTGTCGAGACAAATAATGAAACAAAGCATTCAACCACTTCCAGGTTGGATGTTTTGCATTATTATTTAACTCTATGTGGCTTATACAACATCACATGGTGTTTCATACCATATCATATTCTTAGTCTTCACTCAAGTTTTGTGTCAGCAAATGAAAAAAAAACACATTTGGTGGGCAAAGAACCAACTGGTTAACAATATAAAAAAGAATCAAGATTAAAGAAAGGGGTCATGTGTTTGATGTGTCTTTAAGCAGGTGTAATCTTAACACAGGGTTAGTCGTAAAAGCACAAGTCACTGGAGTACATACCCACTTTGTTCCTGATGTCACTCAAGAGTTTCGAGACATAAAGCTGTAAGTGATTTTTGAACCAAGTCTGCATAATTGTTTATTTATTTATTTTTTCTTTTTAATCATAGAACTTGTGTTTGTAGGGAAATATGGGGATGCATTTAAATCATAATTATTATTTATCCTCGTTCAACAAAAATACCTGACAGGAGTGGGGAGAGTTGTAACAAAACCAATCCACATTGAAGACTTTTTTTCGTATTTTGTTGATTTTTCAGCATGCCTAGAGACAGTAGCAAAAAGGAAGATGTTTCAGAATACAATTTGAAAAAAGCTGTCAGGAAAGTCAACATGCAGCACAAAGAATCTCTTTTTAAGACAGACAATGTAAGTTTTACAGGAGCTGAAAAGCAGACAATGTCAGGTGGTCTTGACTATGAGTTGTTAGATGCAGGCAGCAGACATGTGCTATGGAGTTATTTTAAAATGTAGTAGATAGATAACATACAAATATAGGTAACATGCAACTTCAATATTAAAACGGTTACGAGGCAAACTGTATAATGTTTGTTACATTTTTGCTGTCATTCTTTTTTGCCTTATTGCAAATGACCCTAACTAGTGTAATTCTTACTAATTAGGTAGGTTGCAACAATGGAATTATTTTTATTCAACATCTATTCTTGAAGTCTGCTTTATAATCTTAAGGTTTTATAATCTTTTTAATCATATCTGATCTTTGTAGCTGACAAGCAGATATCTTATTGTTAAAATATAAGAGTTCAAGGACCAAATGTTATTCATGGTTAGACGAAAAGGGTTTAAGATCATCCCCGGTCTCCCTCCATGCACAGCAAGCCAAAGCTCTAATGCTGAACCTGTGCACATATTGATTTCACTATGTTAAGCAAGACTGATTGCTCCATCTAGGGGTTAAAATAGCTTACCAATCAATATCTTTAAACAGCAATGGTCCGTAATCGAATATGCCAGCTATTCTTTGTCACCATTGGATTTCATTAGCTTAGTGATTATTCTATATTGTTTTTATGGAGCAGTTGCATCTGACTGGATTTTGTGATCAGAAACAGTTTGTCTGTATAATCTGTGCAATCAGTGACAGGTAGGCAAGCTGATGGACTTTTGTGCTTTAATTTTTATTTTTTTATGAATGAGGAATCAAAACTGCTTTTTTTAACCATCATAACTGCTTTTCTTGATTCACTTTTGTTAGCACTTCACATATTTCATAACTAAAAACTTCTGTATTAATAGAGCTATGATTCAAACCAAATAATTAGTTGCAGTTGTAGTTTGTAGTGGTATTTGTCTTTTTGATAATATATTTAAAAAAAAATAATATTACAGGGGCCTGTTTCAGGTGGCCTTTAACCTAATTTAACCCTATCATGGAGAAGAGTGTGAGTCTTCCGACATAACATGCTAAAAGACCATAACTGGTTGTAAAAGGCCACAGGCCACAGATAAAGCACTTTTTAAAATGTATTAAATAATTGTTTTTATAAAAGAAATTGTACAAAAAGAAATTGCTTTACTGTATTCTTTGCCGAAAACGTGTTTAAACCTTAAAACAATAGAATGGTTAAAGGGACAGTTCACCCAAAAATTAAAAGTTTGACATCATTTACTCAGCCTCATTTTGTTCCAAACCTGTATGAGTTGAATAATTGTTATTGTTTATAATTCATATGATAACAATAATGGTGATGATGATATTAACTTAAAGGGATAGTTCACCCTCAAGTTGTTCCAAATCTGAATGAGTTTCTTTCTCCTGTGAACACAAAAGAAGATATTTTGAAGAATTTTGGTAACCAGACAGTTTTATTTTATTTAATTCTTTATTTGACAAGGACAATGGACAGTAAAAAAACTGCCCCAGAATTAGCTACAAAGCTAAATTTCATCTGCTATCCCTGGGCAGGAGAGTACCAAATCCCATTACATGTCAAATAATCAAAAGATCATACATACGATAAAATCCCCAAACAAATGAAAAATATATACGACATATGATCCATCACATAACAATAAAAACTGCAATCCAAATTACTACCGAATATCCCATACTACAAAACATCACACAATGTTACAAATTCAATCCCCCACAATTATAAAACCATAACAAAACACAAAAGTATTCAATGATCACAAACCTGACTCCTCTTTAACCACATTTTCAAATGTAACTTAAACTGTGCAAAATTAGGACACTGTCTAATATTAATTGGTAAATTATTCCAGTTATTAACAGCTCTTACAGAAAAATCTGAGGTCACTGCAGTCACCTCTAACGAAGCTCTTGTTTGTCTTATGTTTTCTGTACGCGAAGAAAAAAATGCTTTTAAGGGTGAGGGTACAAGATTATTAACAATTTTGTACGTTAAAAAACAATTGTAAAACAAAATAAAATGGTCAAAAGTAAAAAAAAATTGTGCTTTTGAATAATAAAACAATAATGATATCTATTAGGTTTCTTGTCAAATGCTTTTAAAGCACGTTTATATATAGATCTAAGAGTAGATTTTCCTGCTTGTGACCATGAAGTAATACAGTAATAAAAGGGAGGGGAAAAAAATCAAAGAATGCAAATAAATTCTTGCAGCTTTCATTTAAAGTTGACTCCATATAAATTTAAAATTTATAAATTGAGGTGTCACTGCGCAGACTATTTTTTTATATGCTTTTCAAATGTTAAATGAGTGTCTAAGATAACTCCAAGATATTTAAAATCTGGCACATTTTGCCATTTTTCACCATTAACTAATATATCTGGTAGGATCTCCTCCTTTTTAATTTTAAAATACATACAGGCAGTTTTCTGAACATTTAAGGTTAAACAACACTGGATAAGCCAGTCTATTTACAGTATTTTTTCCTACTATGGAAATCAATGGGGTCCATGATCGACTGTTTGGTTACCCACATTCTTCGAAATATCTTCTTTTGTGTTCACCAGAAAGAAAGAAAAACTCATACAAGTTTGGAACAACTTGAGGAAGTAAGTAATGACAAAATTTTCATTTTTGGGTGAACTGTACCTTTAAGTTCATTGTTATCATTATAATCAACAACAAATTTGATAAATAAAATGGATGATTATGATAATTTATTATTATCATCATCATCATTATTGACATCATATGAATTATAATAACAATAACAATTAATATACATATTAATATTAATTATTATTAGACAATAGATCGATTATTATGATTATTCTTTTTATTTGTTTTTGCATTTAGTATAGGGGTATTTATGCTCACAACAAACTGCAAGCAAGCAAGCAAACAAATGAGCGTGTCTTTAAACTTTAAAACAGTAGTGGGGGGCGTGTGCGGTTTGGAGCGACCAACAAGAGATGAGGGGAGGGATAACCAACAGAGCCCATCTTCCTCCTGACCTCTGGGAAACGATGGACGTGCCGCTTCCTTCTAAATTTAGACACTCATTCGTGTCGGTGCACTATGCTCTCCAAACTGTTGTTCTCGTTTATGTCAATAGTTTAGGCCTAGTTCGGTCGAAACGAGGTGAGAGACCTTCGCGGGTCTCCGTTGACACATGAACGGCAGCTCGATCTGACGAACGCGCAACATCGCAGTAACGGCACCTTTCATGTTTTTTTACGAGGCTCCGAAACAGACGTAATGGCGCAGGGGAATAATGGTAATTTCCTTACTATCCCCTCACAAGAGGGTCTTTTCAAGACGGTGAGAGTCGAGCGTTCCGAAGACAACAGTAACGATGAAGAGGAGGAAGAAGCAGAGGAAGACGTCCGGCTAATACCGAGGTGTTCTCCTGTTCCCAGAAAGCGAGGCTCCTCGATCGCCGATGAAACCGCCGAGTACATGCGAATTCGCCTGGCGTTGCCGGACAGAAGAGTGTCGTTTGTAGACAGTACGGGAGCCGAGCTGTTTGATGTCAGAACGTTTGTTCCGTTTGATTCAGATGAGGAGGACGATTCAAGATGGGAGGAAGAGGAAGCGCGGTACCGAAAAGCCTACCGCGAGCCCACTTACAGAGTGTGGCCAGAGTTCCAGGCGCTCGCCGGAACGGAGCTCTCGCTCGCTGTCCACACCAACAAGCTGGAAGTGGAGAGCGTGACATCTGTGCCTGATGAGCCTTTGTCCTTCGAGGTGATTATTCGTGTGCTCAACATTTCTTTTCACAAATCAGTCTATGTCCGTTCCACGATGGACGGTTGGATCAATCACTATGATTACCCAGGCGAGTATGTCCAGGGCTCCAACGACAGCGAAACGGACAAGTTCTCCGTGAAGCTGTCTTTCGCCTCACCGTACCTGTTCAACGGAGCGCGTATTGATTTTGTTGTACGTTATGAGACGTCAGATGGAGAGTTTTGGGCGAACAACTCTGGCAGGAATTATTCGGTAACTCTCCTACAGTCATATGAAGACGAAACAGCCCAGACCACCACAGAGGAGAAAACTGAGTTGAAAGGGATCCTGAAACCTCCCAGGTACCGGTAAGTGGGCGTCAATGGACTTGTGTGACAAAGGTAAAACCCTGTTGTTAAATCTCTGTTTAGCCAGCAGTCAGGATTATACCTTCTAACAACAAGAAGGAATAATTCCTTTTCCGCGCAATTTACCGTTCAAACAAAACAAAAAAATACAATTATTCCGTAAAAAGATTTTGTCCGTCAACGGAAAGTGCGCAGCAGTCGGGTTTCGGAAGAAAAAACTCATTTTTTAACGATGACTTATAGACCAGCTCAACTGTGAGCTACGAGGTTATTAATCGATAGTATTTGCTTCTGTTGAAGCCATCAGCCAGCATTATTTCGACTTCGTTTAAATCTTTTTAACAGCAGAATTTGTGGTGAAAAATTACATTACCCATGTTGAACAGAAAATTCCAGCAATCAGAGTCGAAACAAGAAAAACGCGCCAAAAGATGTCGTTAGCTCCGCCCAGGCATAAAGCACCGAGTCAATCTCCTTACACACTCAAAATACTTAAATATTCTGATATATGCATATTTTTGCTATATATGTATAGCCTAAATATATATCAACATTTTTAAATGAGTAGTAGTATATTTTTCCATCATTTTTAATTATATTATGCTGTTGCAGTGCTTCATGGGATTGTAGTTCTTTTCCTAATTTACTACGGATCACAGAGCCGTATCTCACTGACAAGCTGCGCATCAAAAATAATCGCAGCCTTTGAGATTTCATAATAATCCAAATTGGTTAAGCGTGATTTCCATGATAATTGCAATTAATCGTGCAGCCCCAGTTCCTGGCTTATAAAGTTTTAATAAATACTTTTTAAAAATCCATATGGGGAATTGAATGAAACCAAAACATCTGAAAAAGTACGGGGGGGGGGGCAATGTTATTGGGATTAATTCACGTTTTTATAGGCTACTTTTTCACAAGGATTAAAATCGTCCCGAACTTGAATTAATCCCAATAACATGAATCTTTGTCATTGCCTTGACCATTTTCTGACACCAGAACAAAATAGAGATGCTTTTAAATAATTTGATAAAAGATAGCTTTTTAATAATTCAATAAAAGAATGCCAACTTTAACGGTAAAACCACTTAGCACAGACTGTATCACTATTTTCAAATTTACAAAGACTATTTACAAATAAAACCCAAGAAAAAAACTATTTACAAATAAAAACAAATAAAAAAATATATTTACAAATAAAAATCAAGAATCTATATGCCATTGCTTGTCGCACTTAAACTATTATTCAACACACACACAGTGTGCAGTTGCAAAGAAGAATAGATGCGTGACATTATATTCATAATAAGAAAACAATTTATTTCCTTGCAGCGAGAGTGTCAGGCAACGCGTTATACTCGCACTATGAGCCGCGACTGACTGGATGAGCGTCGAGCAAGATCTGTAAGCTGCCAGTCGGATCACGGCCATTTGACTGGTTATATTGGGATAACAGTCCCCAAAACATCAATCATACACAAGAATAAAGGCATGACATTATATTCATAATAAGAAAACAATTAATTTCCATGCAGCGAGAGTGTCAGGCAACGCTTTATACTCGCACTATGAGCGTCGAGCAAGCGTCTGTAAGCTGCCAGTCGGATCACGGCCATTTGACTGGTTATATTGGGATAACAGTCCCCAAAACATCAATCATACACAAGAATAGATGTGTGACATTATATTCATAATAAGAAAACAATTAATTTCCATGCAGCGAGAGTGTCAGGCAACGCGTTATACTCGCACTATCAGCCGCGACTGACTGGATGAGCGTCGAGCAAGCGTCTATAAGCTGCCAGTCGGATCACGGCCATTTGACTGGTTATATTGGGATAACAGTCCCCAAAACATCAATCATACACAAGAATAAAGGCATGACATTATATTCATAATAAGAAAACAATTTATTTCCATGCAGCGAGAGTGTCAGGCAACGCGTTATACTCGCACTATCAGCCGCGACTGACTGGATGAGCGTCGAGCAAGCGTCTGTAAGCTGCCAGTCGGATCACGGCCATTTGACTGGTTATATTGGGATAACAGTCCCCAAAACATCAATCATACACAAGAATAAAGGCATGACATTATATTCATAATAAGAAAACAATTTATTTCCTTGCAGCGAGAGTGTCAGGCAACGCGTTATACTCGCACTATGAGCCGCGACTGACTGGATGAGCGTCGAGCAAGCGTCTGTAAGCTGCCAGTCGGATCACGGCCATTTGACTGGTTATATTGGGATAACAGTCCCCAAAACATCAATCATACACAAGAATAGATGTGTGACATTATATTCATAATAAGAAAACAATTTATTTCCATGCAGCGAGAGTGTCAGGCAACGCGTTATACTCGCACTATCAGCCGCGACTGACTGGATGAGCGTCGAGCAAGCGTCTGTAAGCTGCCAGTCGGATCACGGCCATTTGACTGGTTATATTGGGATAACAGTCCCCAAAACATCAATCATACACAAGAATAGATGTGTGACATTATATTCATAATAAGAAAACAATTAATTTCCATGCAGCGAGAGTGTCAGGCAACGCGTTATACTCGCACTATCAGCCGCGACTGACTGGATGAGCGTCGAGCAAGCGTCTATAAGCTGCCAGTCGGATCACGGCCATTTGACTGGTTATATTGGGATAACAGTCCCCAAAACATCAATCATACACAAGAATAAAGGCATGACATTATATTCATAATAAGAAAACAATTTATTTCCATGCAGCGAGAGTGTCAGGCGACGCGTTATACTCGCACTATCAGCCGCGACTGACTGGATGAGCGTCCAGCGAGCGTCTGTAGCTGCCAGTCTGATCACGGCCATTTGACTGGTTATATTGGGATAACAGTTCACAAAACAGCAATCATACTAAAGAACATTATTCATATCAACAGATTCATAATAAATGAGCTAGAAAGGGAGGAACACAAAACACAAAAACTGTCCAAAATCGATGGTTTCTGAAACTTGCCAAATAGACTACTATAGCCAGCCACTGTCAGCCACTGCACCTGTCAGTGGCTGACTGGCAGCTGCCACTGGCAAACTGGCAGCTGCCAGTGGCAGACTGGCAGCTGCCAGCCAGCCACTGACAGGTCACATGACCTGCCAGTGGCGGCTCCTGCCAGCCAGTTTAAGATTGAACCCCCACTCTTCTGATGTCATCCCTGCACCACTCTATAGACCTTATGTAGCCCCACCCCTTTTCAGCGCTGTGCTAGTTGTGTTCTGTCTTCCGGTTTGTATTTCCACAGCATGAAGGTAAGATCTTATGGATTTATGAATGAACCTCTCATTTTAAACCGGTCTACTGACATTTGTTGTGAAATCTGTTTCAAACATTACAATGCCCATGATAACTTTTGTTAACTCTACAATAAGTAAATCCACTTCACAATCACTAGCTTATTATTCTTCGACAGTGATGCCAGAGACACATACAGAGCTACCGCAAAAATGGAAGTTCAAACACAAAATTCTAAAAATGGCTGCACTCTTGTTTGTCTGGCACATAAGGTCATCTTTGAAGCAGATGTCATAACAAATGTTAGTAGACCGGGAAGATTCTAAAACGAGCGGTTAATTCATAAATCCGTAAGGTCTTGCCTTCATGCTGTGGAAATACAAACCGAAAGACTGAACACAACGAGTGCAGTGCTGAAAAGGGGCGGGGCTACATAAGGTCTATAGTTTCAAGCTTTTAGATTTGGATGTCGCCAAGCAACGGGCAGACTAAAAGCTTGTCTGGAACACCGTATATAAGTGGAGTGGATATATTTAGACAATCACTCAGTTCTGTGATCCCTCCGCTACAGCTCCACTCCAAGTTTTGCATTCCCCACTCCCTGCTTACCTGTGAGAGAGAAACCCTGCTCTGAGAGATACTGGAGCGAGAGAGCGCACTACTCTGTGCCTTTCAAAAAAGCAATGCCCCATAAAAATACTAAAATATGATGCTCTAAGCCACCCCGGGCCCTAGTATCAAGTGAAGCAGCATCAATGAAGCTTATGACAGTGTATTTAATAACTTATCATTTTAGATTCACATTAATGATTTAATGATTCTACATTCACTGTTTCATATTTAAAACAAAAATTAGTAATGTTGTTACTGAAATTTTAAGTTGCATTGCTGCATAATTCGCCTTTGGCTAAGCCCCGCCCCCCGTAGTTACTGTTGCTACGTCCGACAAACAAACTTCATCTGGGCTCTGGTATCAACATGGCTTATGCTGTGACAGCTCTTCCTGCTGAAATTTTATCAAACTTTTATAAAGCAGCAAATAAAGTGTCCGATAGAAGTAGGCAAAAGGGGCTGCAATATACCTGTATGTCGTGAATATAGTTCGAAGGCTATATTCACGACATACAGGTGAAACGCAAGGAACAACAAGGCATCCAAATAGAGGCAAAAGCATACCGGTCACAGTCAAAAAATGAGGCTGGGACTAACAATATCAAGGAGCAGCACTGTTCATGCAAAGCTGGGTAGGTCTCTATTCACTTCTATAATCGTTATTACAAAGCAAACGGACGTTGTATTTATTAGCAGCGTGTGCTAGACGACACTTGTCAGGATTTGACTTCGGTTTGGGGAAGGGGAAAAAACGGACACCCCCCTCCAACCTCTCTGGGAAATGCGTATGTGTTACAAATGCCCCAGGCACAACGTTTAACCATATTTTTCATAAAATTACGACGGTAATAGCCTGCCGAGACCAAAAATATGAGACGCCTGTGTTAAAGTCAATGGAGCGCTGTGAAAAAGTGTCGGACCTCTGTGGGAGCTCGTTCTTGGCTGCGCTGTGATTGGTCAATCTACATTCTAGGGTGTGGCTTAGCCAAAGGCGAATTCTCTCAATTCATGTAGCCTTTGCAGTGTATGAATATTGCAATTATTCAACATCATGAATGATCATATGTTTAAAATTTCTGGTGCTAAAGATGGAACAACATGGATTAATAACGTCATCTTGGATTATACAGGGCCTGTGTTATACAGCATCTGTATATTGTGTGAGTTTTGGGGTTGCAGTCTCCCCACCCCCTCCCTCACTTTTGAGAATGGCAGCCATTCAAGGGTGTGTGAGGAGGGCGGATGAAAATAGGACAAGGCAGGTGTCGCTTTCAGCTCTGGTGCACTGAGACCTTACCTCTGACTTTTCTGTGGGGGTTGCACAGTAGAGACACAACAAACCAACAAAAGCAGACACAAACCTACGCCGGTTCCCTCTGTACGCTTGGAGACAATCTTTTTACCCATTATTTTCACTTTTCACATTCTGTCTGGGATACACACAACAACAAAGAAAGTTTGAGGGGAAAAAAGACTGAACCCAGATGAAAACCTTTTTTTTTTCATGCTAGACACAACAATGTCATGGAACTCCGGATTTGTCAAGAGATAAGAAGATGAGTTTCGACCTTATGTTCCAAGCAGACTCGCAAGTCTTGCTCGCGACCTTTCCTCAAATGTCAAGCCTTGTTTCTATTACATTGCTCAAACATGCTACAAATAGAAGGTCATAGAAGAGGATGCCAATTGTACCGCTTCACGCAACTCAGAATGTGTAGCGACTTCGACATGAAATGGAAAAGTTTGTACAAAGTCACATGACCAGAACATCTGACCATCATGCTCTGCAAAACTTTTGGTAACATGCAAGAAGGCATGTGTAATATTTGGACAGGTCCTTATCCCATCATAGGATCTATCATGGGGTTTAAGGGGGAGTGTGGAGACTGTCTTCACCCACAGCTCTGAAAAAATATCTCAAGCTCTGGAGGCGGTCAGATGTTACCATAGTAACAAATGTCACAGAGGTCACAGTTATTTTCCATTTAATGGAGCAATCAAGTATAACTCTGGCCAATGGATGATGCTTGTACTTTAAAAGGGATAGTTCACCAAAAAAAAAAAAAAAAATCATTATTAACTTACCTTCATGTAGTTCCACACGTGTATGACTTTCTATCTTCTGTGGAACACAAAATAAGATATATTAAATAATGTTGGTAACCAAACAGTTTTAGTTGCCATTGACTTCCATTGAATTGGCAAAAAACAGAAATTTAAATTTTTATGTTTCACCGAAAAAAGTTCAGGTTTAGAACGACAAATTCAGGTTTAGAACGGCATGAAGGTGACAATTTTTATTTTTTGGATGACCTATCCCTTTAAATATCTAACATTCTATAATGACCAATAATAGTCTTATATATATAATAATTTGTAAAATGGATTGTAACTGATTAAATTCTATACTTTTAATATATTAACTCTGTTTATCAATGTGTGCTGCTGAAGAATGATTGTTTTGGTGTGTATGTGTGTGTCTTCCTTTTAGAGCTGACATTGGTTACGATGACTCTGATGATGGAGGAGATGGTATGTTTTAAGTGTCATAATGTTATCCACTAGCTTTTTTATCTTGGGATAAATAAAACAAACAAATGTCAGGTTAGTCGTTTTATGCTTCAGATTCCTCAGTTGTTGTTTTTCAGCAGATCTGAGCAGCACTGAGTGTGAAGAAGCAGATAATCAAGCCTCTTTTGCACAGCCGCCTATTGTCCAACCAGATATCGACATCGAGGTGAGTGAAGTTTGCTTTATAATCACCAGTTCTGAGTTCGGCTTGGATAGCAGGTGGAAAAAGACACAGTGTATCACAAACATACAAAAAAAAGTTTAAACAAAACATTGTTTCCCCTTCTGTCTCTAACCTTTACCAGATTTCCATGACGGTTTTCATATGTGGTGTAGCAGCCTTTTTTCTACATTTTTTTTTTTTTTTTTTGCGGTCTGTCGGAAAACTCATTGACCTCTATGCTGTCTAGACACGCTTATAGTGAGTCTTTGCAGGGCTCAACGATAAGGATTTTTTTTACTGGCCCAGTTGGGTCAGTGGCTCAAATTTTTACTTGCCCTGCCAAAAGTTTCACTGACCCCTCCACAGAAAAAGTAATAAAATAAATAAAATAGGCCTAGTTGTATTCGTTGTTTTTGACCCATGTAACCAAAAACTACTAGCCATACTCTTATAAATTTCAAATATCTTTAAAGTGAACAATCAGTAATAAAATAAGAAGGATTATGCAGCTTCTAAGCAGCAATGCAACTTAAAATAGCAAATAATCAAATAATGAGCAGTAGCACAAATAAATACAATAGAACAAACATACAAATAAAATAAACAGTGCTTTTCAGGTTGGTCTAACGGTATTTTTCAGGTACCGTAATTGAATAAAGTAGGGCTGTCAAACGATTAATCGCGATTAATCGCATCCAAAATAAAAGTTTGTGTTTACATAATATATGTGTGTGTACTGTGTCTAATTATTTTTAATACATAAATACCCACACATGCATGTGTATTTAAGAAATATTTGCATGTATATACTGTATATAGACTGAATGTAGCCAAGTCAAGTCAAATATATTTATATAGCGCTTTTCACAATACAGATTGTATCAAAGCTGCTTCACAGTATCAATTAAAACAACTTAACAGTGTTTATTTATTACTGGAAAAGACATCCAAGTTTGGTAGAGCTGATCAGTGGTATGATGGGTCATTTAATTTGAATATCCCCAACTGAGCAAGCCAAAGGCAACAGTGGCAAGGAACCGAAAAACTCCATCAAGTGACCCGATGGTGTCCTAAAACTCCATCAGATGACCCAATGGAGAAAAAAAAACCTTGGGAGAACCCAGGCTCAGTTGGGGCCAGTTCTCCTCTGGCGTTTATGAAGTAGAGGCCGAATTTACAGTAACTGTAAGATAAAAAAATGTATATGAATGCCTGGCTAAATAGATGCGTCTTTAGTCTAGTTTTAAACTGGGAGAACGAGTCTGAGCAACGAACAATATCAGGAAGGCTATTCCAGAGCTTCGGAGCTAAATGTGAAAATGCTCTCCCTCCTTTGGTGGATCTGGATATCCTAGGAATGACCAGAAGCCTCGAATTTAGTGATCTTAAAGAGCGCGATGGATTATAGGGCGATAGAAGATCCGTTAAATAGACTGGAGCTAAACCATTCAGAGCTTTATAAGTCAAAAGCAAGACCTTGTAATTAATACAGAACTTTATAGTTAACCAATGAAGTGATGATAGAATCAGTGTTATATGATCATATTTTCTTGATCTAGTAAGAACTCTAGCGGCTGCATTTTGGACTAACTGTAGCTTGTTTATTGAAGATGCAGCCTATATATAATGTATATTTTATATAAATATAAACATTTTATATATAAATAACATATTTTTCTTAAATATATACGTGTGTGCATTTATATACAAAATAATTATACACAGTACACACACATATATTATGTAAACACAAACTTTTATTTTGGATGCGATTAATCGTGATTAATCGTTTGACAGCCCTAGAATAAAGTAATCAAATGTAAAATAACACGGCATAGTCTGTGTAAATTAAATATAGATTAATCCTTATTAAAGTTACAAAAGTTATTCAGTCAAGGGCAGTGACTGTTTTTTTCTTCTTTGTCCTTTGTTGTTTGATTAATATTAAAAACCCAGACTGCAGCAGGTTTATAGGCTGCTGTCACTTTAAGACCGGAGGCTTCTATGTACTGTTACACATGCTTTTTCTTAATTGTTTGCATTCACTTGAGACATAATCGACTGTGTTTATGAGGATACTCGCAAAGATGGGCATATTGACAATTCATTTGAGAATATGTCCGTTCTAGCACAAGAAAAAGTGAAAGAGAATTCATTTCAGTATTTCTTTCACTCTGGCCCCGGGCCATCGGGCAGTGCTTATTGTAGAGCCCTGCTTTGTATGTGGTTACTGCCTATGGTGGTATACTGGTATTTATCTATCAGAGCTGTCTTCTGTTTTTTCTCTATTTTTATAAGGGATTCCTGTCTGTCACTATTGCAGCAGATGCAAAGCTGTAGTGTTTCAGAGCAATTTAGACTAAAGATAAATCAAGAATCTTGATATAAACTAAATTGTCTATTTAATAATAGCTAAAATACTGATAATGTCGGTTTTCATCATACCTGCTTACTCACACAATTCAATTCGCTTGTTAAAAATCACACCAACATTTCACTGTCCTGATAACCACTTGCTTGTGTCTATTTGCAGTGTGTTGATTTGCAGCTGTTTTAAGTAACTGAATCTGGTATTTATAACAATAGCATCACCATCTCGGTTTCTGGTCTGTGGTCAATCCATTACAATAAATAGACAGACACATTATTATTTCTTTACCAGAGATCTTAAAGGGATAGTTCGCCCAAAATGTTTAATTCTGTCATCATTTGGCATTCCTAACCTGCTTGACTTTCTTTCTTCTACGGAACACAAAAAAGATGTTGGGAAAAATGAATTGAGAAACACTGATAAATTAAAAAAAGAAAAAGAAATGTTCAACAGAAGAAAGAAAGCCATACAGGTTTGGTACGATGTGAGGGTGAGTAAATGAAGACAGAATTTTTGTATAAACTATCCCTTTAATTGTGAACTACTGTTAAAATATATAAAAATTTGATTTTAAAATCTATTTAAAAGTGTATTTTCTTTCATAAATGTATCATGCTGACAATGTCATTTTTGTAAATTAGCTTATGTTAATCATCAAGAATGATTTAACCTATTCTCCAGCATATATTAGATAAAAACAAGATGTGTATTTGTTGATATTGTTATTCTTTTCATCTGTCCACCTGAACAGCTCATTGAAGCTTCAGCATCAACTTAGGTAATGTGTATGTGACTTGCTAACTTAACGCCTTGCTAATGTCACCCATTCATTGTGTTGCATGTAAGGTGCATCCTGTATCGTGACTCATTATACATGAAATCTAGATCAACCATGTAGAAGGTATTTGTTCCCTTTCGAGAACGGTCACTTCGTATTGCGTAGCTACTACGCAGTGGGGAAACTCCTTTTCCTCTAAATATTGAAGCTTTAATTTAAAACGCAGTGCAGCTGAACAGTGAAACGCAGCAGAGTGTCTAGCTCGCTCATTGGCTGTGCTGCGGCAACTGCACATCCAATGGCCGAGCGCCTCTGAACGCGCGACCAATCAACTGACTTGGCGCTGAGTACATCAGAGCGCACCTAAATGGGCGTAGCCTAAGCCTATAAATATCGCTCAATTCGGCCAAAATACAGATTTACTCAACTTCAGCGACACTTCACGTCTCAGAGTCCTCACCGAAGCTATTCGCTGTCGAACCAAGCCAGAATCAGCTAGAGCAAGCCTTGAAAACAGCGGACAGTGCCTTCAACTTACCCGGAAGCCGCTCTTCTTCAGTCTCTGCTCTCCTGTGGCCATCCGGCGAGACAACGCTATATATTCTTTTACTGCTGCTGTTGTGCTCGTGCTGCGACACTCATCTTTTGTGAAAGAGCAAATTTCTAACGAGGCGTTGTTTCAAATGCCTCGTTCATCATGCACCTCGTGCGGAGCTCGTCTACACGAGGATGACGGGCACGCAGAGTGCGCCAGGTGCCTGGGACCCGCCCACGCTGAAGCTGCACTCTCTGCCGCGGGCTGTTCTCACTGCGAGAGCCTGCCCATTTCAACGCTGCGGATGCGGTTAGCTCTCTTTCAAGATGGTCCGGCCGCTAGCCGGACCGCCCTCAAAAAGAACCCATCTGATACTCACAGCTCTCTGTTCAGCTCCACAATGTAGTCAATGGGCCCATTGCACTGCACGCGCCCCTACAAAGAAAGAGGCAATAGGGAGTAATAGGGAGTGCGCGTGCTGAACTATCTCGACAATTGGCTCGTTATGTCTTAGTCGAGGACCGAATTATTAACACACAGATCCATGATACTCAGCCATTTGGAATGTCTGGGTCTCAGAATCAATTATTCCAAGAGCAAACTGTCACCCAGCTAGAATGTAATCTTTTTGGGCACAGTTATAGACTCTGTAACGATGAGAGCGCAGCTCACACCAGAGCGCGCTCTCTCTATCCAACAGCTGATAGCCTCCTTCAGAGCAGGTGCGCACGCAACCCTCAGGAAGTTTCAGAGGCTTCTCGGTCTCATGGCTGCCGCATTGTCAGTACTCCAACTGGGGCTACTGCATATGCACCCCCTTCAGCACTGGCTAAAGCGCCGTGTGCCAGCCCATGCATGGCGGTCAGGCTGCCTGCACATCATGGTGAACCAGCGCTGTGTGAAGGCTCTGGTCCCTTGGAAAGCCCAGAACTGGTATCAGTCTGGTGTAATTATGGGTGTGGCCTCCAGGAGAAAAGTAGTTTTCACAGACGCCTCCAACCGAGGTTGGGGAGCGCTGCACAAGGGCAAGCCTGTCTGCGGCCTCTGGTCGAGCCTGGAGAAGAGCTTACATATCAACTGCCTGGAAATGAGAGCAGTTTGGTTAGCCCTGAATACATTTCTGCCAGACCTCAGGGGACACCACGTCTTGGTCCGCACAGACAACATGTCGGTGATATCCTATATAAATCACCAGGGCGACCTCAGATCAGGCAGCCTGTATGTCATGGCCAGAAAGCTCCTCCTTTGGTCGCATGCCAACCTGCGCCTTCCCTGAGAGCTGCGCATGTCCCAGGAGTCCAAAATGTGGTTGCGGATATGCTGTCTCGAGACAACACTCCCCCGGGCGAGTGGTCTCTTAACACACAGACGGTTCGTCTGATATGGAGTGTGTTCGGCAGGGCAGAGGTCGACCTCCTCGCCTCCAGGAACAACGCTCACTGCACAACGTTCTTTTCGAAGAACAGGGACGCGCTGGCCCACCCATGGCCCAGTCTACCACTGTATGCGTTCCCACCGGTCTCTATGATCCCTCAGGTCATCAGACGGATCAAGGAAAGCGGATGCTCAGTCCTCCTAGTAGCCCCCCTCTGGAAAACCCAGGCGTGGTTTCCAGAACTGGCACAGATGACGGACACTGTTCCCTGGCCAGTGCCAATGAGGAAGGACCTCCTCACACAGGCGAACTGGACGATCTGGCACCCTCGCCCCGACGGGTCCTCCATGTATGGACCTTGAAAGGGTATCCGGGGACCTCCCAGAAAAGGTCATAAATTCAATCACTGAGGCTAGAGCACAGTCTACTAGACGGCTCTATGCTCTGAAGTGGTCAGTATTCGTTGGCTGGTACTGAGCCAGAGACTTCGAGCCCCACTCATGTGAAGTGTCAGTGGTGCTCTCCTTCCTACAAGAGCTTTTGGATGCGGGTC